AAAAAAATGATAATGAAAAAATAGAAATTATACTTAACTATTACATCACCATCAACATGTTGTGATCTTTACAAGATTTTCATCGATGCATTTGCTGACGATCAAGCCTGAGTTTCTAAATGTTGTCACTTGGCAAATTGTCTGTTTTCGCGGACTTTGTCTGTTTTCATATTATTTTTTACTTTTCATAAAAAAGTTTTTAGCAACATATCATAGTTATAAATTGCCCTTTACCTAGCTAATTCAAAAATGAAGAAAAGGTAGTAGAGGCAATGCGAGGCAGTAATACTCTTTACCCGGGCCGCAGAGAGATTTTTCTCTAGAATGTCAAAGATATTTCTCTGGCTAATTCTGTGCACATTTCTGCACTGTGCCCAGTAAATGTGTTCAGCATTGACTCCATTGACATATAGCCCCTGGTAGAGAATGAGGCAGTGAGTTGAAAGCGAGAGCTTGTCACGTACACCTTAAATGGCGATAGCTGTAACACATTTAACCTCGACTGATGAAATTAAAGTAAGCGCACACGTAGAATGCACACAGGCTAGATATGCTATACCTGGGTTTTTTTACGATATCCGTCGTGTCGCGTTCTCAAACATGCAGTGCATGACTTTAAAAACGACCCTTGGCGTATTTCTTTTTGTTTGGTGTGTGTGTGAACAGTTTTTTAATCAACGTAATGGAAGTCAGCTGCTTTTGTTACTGAATGTCTTTTATCTTCTGAAGAAGAGCAACCACACTACTTCCTTCTTTTCACCGGACTCGACCTTTATGATGCAATTGGTGATTCAATAAAGTTGTTGCTTTATATCTGTTTACTTTATTTCCCTTCCCTTCACTTATTGGCTATGAATAAAAGAAATTAAAGGGATAATAACTCTTCGTATGAGATCTATATTTGAAAATAAAAACACTTAGAAAAACTCATAGAAATATGATATATTCTGTTGTACAAGAAAAGTGGCAGTTATAGCTATTATTCTGATGTCTGAGCTTGTCTTTAGACCACATGACCTCCATTGATGGCTATACTATGTTATAATCTCTTAATTGGTAAGTGCGGGAAAATAGTTGTTTACTCCAGGAAAATTCATTTTTTGGCCAAAACGAAGAGTTATCCCTTTAAATGATCCGTTATCTAATCAATTACCACTTTTTCTTTCCTCTGATCATATTTCTATTTTCAGTCTTTTTTCTGCCAATAATTCGCACGGAAAACGTTATACTATCTCTTATTTATTTCCTTTGTCATTGTATTTTGTGGTTTAAAGGGTCGCAACACGAATGGGAATACTCGGGTTTCAAGAACTTAGCGCTTCTTTGCCTGAAGGGCAGCCTTTGTACAAGATATACAGAAATAACATCTAACATTAACAAGACCTTTACGTGCTCTAAACCATCATCATCTTTTCTACAGGCTTATATCCTAGGGTTTGACACCAGTTGAAGTAAATTGAGAAGCACAAAGGTAAGGCCGTATCATTGCTAAAGCACCTTTTTAAACTCAACATCCCACCATCTCTTCTAAAACCCATTCCTTAAGTAACTTTTTTAAAAGCATGAAATATTAATTCTAGTCATTTTAGATGTATCACGAGCAGAAATAATGAATTGTGAATACTGAACTACAGATGCTCAGAGAAAGAACTAACAAAGGCCCAAGTCATATCTCATGTTGTTTGATTGCAGTTTGGGGACAATAAGGTGGTAAAATAAAAATAAGAACGCAATGTTTTATTTCAGTTGTTTTTTTTCCTTTATTGAATACCAGCAAAGTTGTTCATGCTGATGTAAATGAACCACCTCTTGAGAAATTTCAACATTTTTTAAGCTTAGAAATATCTTTGTATGAAATGTTTGTTTACAGTCCACTCATGTCCACCATAATAATAATAAAGTTCAAGTCTATTGGACAGTGTTGCCTTGGTGTCATTGCAATCATCATGTGGTCAGCACTGGACAGTTTACAACTTCAACTTTGTTCTTCTCCAGTGACGCCTCTTAGCATTGTATCTGAATAAACAAATGAACAGAGAGTCAATTTGTATTAAAATTTAATACATTTTCTACGCAACTTTTGTCACCGGTGTTACGAACACAACTGGTGGCTCATCTAAGAGAAGCTAACATTAGATGACACAAATGTTCATTATATTTGTGAATTGAAAAAGGTGGCCCTATTTGTACAATTCTGTGACAAGACGTGCTCTACCATTGAGACCGTCACCCACAACAGTAAAATTCTACAGAAGGATCCACCTAATCTATCTGATTAGTAAATGTAATTGGTCTATATGATTATGACAGTTGTATCTACTATGATTTACTGCAAACGTCTTTCCACAGATTTACGAACTAAAAAGGCCAAGATTTTATCCCATGTATACACATGCATCCGAAACATGATTTAAATAAAGACCATGAAAAAAAATTGACGTCCTTAGGTTACCATGACAACAACCTACTGGTAATAACCATCACTTTTAGCACTGACAACTAATATAATTTTGTTTTAATCCAGTGTGCAGAGACCAAAGGAAAAGCTAATGATAAATATGAACCATGATAAACCATGAAACCAAAATTTAATTGTTTAGCTTCAGAGTATACCTACATTATACAAGGTAATAGTTTTACCTGATCGTGTTGCCAGTTCTCATCCTAACCCACTGTGGAATGGGGCGGTTCTGTTTCATGGCCTTAGCCAGTTTGGTCTTTATTCTAAATGTCTTGTGGGCAGGCTGGTGAGAAAATGTAAAAAAAAAGAGCATTCAGCAATATATTATCTTAGTGGAAAATAAAATTAACCTTATCAGTTATTATTCAGTCTTAAAAAAAAAGACTCATAGCAGTTCAGGGGCTCCGTATCTCGAAAGGTTCGCTATGTTGCGCACGTGCGCAAGCATCTCGATTCCATGGCCCCGTATCTCGAAATAGAATTGGTTATGGAATCGAGACACTTGCGCACGTGCGCAACATAGCGAACCTTTCGAGATACGGAGCCCAGGTAATCAAGACCTAACAGTGACCTGGTGATATACAAAACTTTCATATTTTTAACTAGCCCAGTGCCTCTAGATGTCCAAGTTTCTTGGACTAGTGTCCAATGGTACAGCTTACAAATTTTATAAAAATATGTAATACCCCGTTCACACTACGCTCAGTTATCCGGATAAATTGCGAATTAGGTCACAATTCGAATAAATGCAGTAGTGTGAACGCAAGAGGATTTTTGTAATGCGCATTTTCAAAATCCTGCAAGCGAGGTGGATTTCTAAGCGCGATCCGGATAACTTACCGGAATCGACACCTGTACAGATCTAACTGCACATGCGTGCAGATAAGTGCGGGTATCTATGAACGCTTGTTTTTTACTTTAGCGATTGCACCAAACGTATTTGGAGGTCGCCACTCACTACAACATGAGGAAACAAACTTATTTTGCCATCTTATACTTCTCAAGAATGCTGGAATGTCTTTAGAGTTGCATTTGTCNCACTGATAAAAAAGGAGCAAATAAAGTGGACTTCGTTGATTTTATAAACTTGGAGAAGATTTTCTATTGATTTACGGGTGAGTTTTGTGAAAGCAGTAGCATTGTAAAACTGGGTCACGTCAGTATTTCGCGTGGAAACCTATGCATTGAATATGAATTTCCATGACTGAATAGAACCATATAAATGAATAAACGAAGAACTGAAATTGATGATAAGTGTGATTTTCATCTCTTTAATTCCGAAGAATTCATTTAACGGAGTTTGAAGTTGTTGATTATAAATTACATCTCAAACTACGTATAACTAGTAGCGGGAGTCGCTTTGCGCTGAACGACAAGAGAGAAAACTTTTGCGGCAGTTTTATATTAGGATGAAGCGCTCCCACACGCAAAGTCAATTGACCAGTTACTTTCACAAGAATGTGAAAACGGTAAAAACAACATATTTTATCAACTTTTTGGTCAATTTAAAAAAATTCAATGCAGTAAGCCCTTTGTCTCGTTTCTTGTAAGTATTAAAGTAGTTAACTTTTTTTTTTTTGAAAGTATTAGTTTTTTTTTTTTTTTTTTGAAAGAGTATGTTCTATAAACTGAAAAGGACTAAACTGAGTGAATGCACAGACTGGAAAATAAATTTTGTCCAAACCTTTGTTATGTCATTACTGAATTTACTCCTCAAAGACAAAACAAGACAATTCAGTGCCACATAAAATGTAAAAAAAAAAAATCAGTTTTAAATACCCTAAAATGCACCAAATTGCACCTCGATTTAAAAAATTTTCCGGGGGGGCATGCCCCCGGACCCCCCTAGTATTGCTGGGATCGCGGACTGCCTACCACCTCGCAGAGCTTGAAAGCCAGGGGAAACACTGTAAAAGGTGCATCATAACAAGCTGTGTGAAATAGACACGCACCCGGGCCCCCCCAAGAAAAATCAGTTTCAATCTGAAACATCTTTATGCATCAGACGCCAAAATATAAGTACACGATAACATCAGACATAGCTTGTCAATTTCATGTTTCAATGATTACAAATATGGCCAACTAATAGCAGAATATGATGTTTGATTCGTACCATTTTCCTTTTGTGGTCAAACCACTATGGCGGATGGGTGCCAAAGAGGAAGTAGGATCGGGCTAAAATTCACACATCAAATCATGATTGTAGATTAAGTGACTTTTGTTTCAGATATGTATATATAAAGAAATAAAAAAGATTAGAATAAATTTAACGGTAAAAATATTTATGAATCAGGCCATATCATATAAATTACTCGAAAAATAATTAAGTGCGGTCTTACTGAGCGTGTAGCAACTATGCAGATCAATCCGCTTTTCTTATCTAATATAATAAAAACGTACTTAATAGCCACGAAACCGCATGTTTTAAAGACTACTTATTATTAAATTTAAATAATTTTGTAGGGTTTTGGTTTGGAACAACTATTTACAATTATATGAATGTAAACGTATTTTGTACTACTTTTCAGTGCGAGGGATGTGTGGCGGAAAGTGAGGTGCTCCACTAAAGTTGTACAAATACTGGCGCTTATATGGAAGGGTGCACTGACAGCACTTTTTATACAATAGGCTTGTTTACTTATTTACTTAACGATTTAAGTTTATGTTACTTGCAATTTATTATACAGAGCCAGTTTACTAAGCATAAACGGTAAACTCTTAATAGAATAGCACCGAAAACTTCGCCTTTGGCATTTTCAACTTTTCAGCATAGTAGAAGTTTGGACAAGTGAAGCACATGTATACGTACTAACTGTAGTATGGAGTTATATGACTGGTGTTTGTGGTGGTTACATGAAATATTTTGAATGTTTAATTCTATCAATGGAATTTCATTACCGAAAAGCAAAAATCTGAATCTTGAAGAAGTTCTTTGAGAGTGAAGAATTTATGGAACTTTAAAATGGATGATGAATTTCGTTTTGATTTGGTAAGTAAAGTTTTGCCAGTCAAGGTTAACTTAGCTGCTTGGTAAGAGCTTTGGGACTTTTAACTCAAGAGGTTCAAGTGCTGGTGTGCTTTATCATTGGTAAATATATTTTGGTGGCTAATTGTTGACACTTGTTATTACCACTGATAAATCTGTGGCTCAAATTGCCATTTTGTATACCATACAAGCAATGCCACCCAAAAACATTGTTTCTTGTTTTGGATTTATCAGATAACTGTAGTGGAAAATACTGCAGTATTTCTGTCACAACTCCTACAACATTAAAGTGGAATATTAATATATATTTAGAAAATCAAAATGTTGCATTTAATTGACTGACTGTATATATGGGACTATAATTTAAAAAAACCTATGATGTTGCTTGGGGATATCAGTAAATATATAGTACCAGCTGATCATCATTCAATTAAGTTCTGAATTCAGCAATACCCTGTAAATACACAGCAATTTAAGACATTTTTCTTCACTTAGTTGTTGCATTCCCTACATGTTCACTTTACCTTTAAATGCATGTTTAGCATAATATAATTATTTACAAGGTAAGTATTTGTTCATTAAAACATCTACTTGTTTCTTAATTAGAAATGGTAATATTTATAAACATAGCATGCAGTTCTTTAGCTGCAATGGTCAGAAGTTGTACCCTGCATGTTTTGTTAATATTATGATAGTATTTTACTGAATTGAATGTGTCTAAATCAAACCTCTTTTTTATTTTTTTATTTATTTTTATTTATTTCAGAATCCATATGACAGTTTCATGAGAAAACATTTGGAACACTATGGATATTACACAGGTATAAATAAAGTGTGCCATTCTTTTTTTGTTAATGATTACATTATACTGTTTGCAAGAGAAAATCCTAGTATATGATCAAAAGGAGATGGAAATATGAAGACCTGTGGGATGTACGTTTGTCAGTCACATACCATACTTGTTAAAATGGATGTGTGTATCTTTTCATTGGAATGGGAAGAAGAGAATTTTTCCATTTGGTTTTGTGGGGATAATACTAAGTATTTTCACAACACTTTCATACTGATGCCCAGGCTACCTATAAGAAAGTCATTGATCAAAATTACTGAGGTCAGGCATCAAGATTAAATTATTTTGAAGTAAACATCTTTTAAAAAATAAATAGAGCCTACATTATGAGAATTGGGATAAAAGAGCACTTTTATTGAGATAGCCAAAACATTATATTGTTATTATCAATAGACTTCATACAAGATGACAGCACAACTAAGCTATAAAATAAAATTGATGTTGTCAAAGACCTCTAGCATGCATAACCTTGGCCCATTTCAAGTTGAACACCACCCCATGTAAACTGAGCATGAATTGTGACAACTGATTTGCCTTACCACACCCTGTCTGATGTTAATTTGTTCTTATTGGGGTATTGGTGTATGTGGACTGTCATTTTCATGTGATGCATGAACTTCTGGAAATATGTTGATGTGAAGTATACAGGTAAAAAGTATGATTTTATTTAGTAAAAATATCCAATATATGGAGGGCAAATAATCTCGAGTATGTACAGTATATATATATATATATATATATATATATATATATATATATATATATATATATATATATATATATATATATCAAATCCTGGCCTGTTATTGGTAGCTAGGTGCCTTAGGTAAAATATAGACTTATTAGGCATATTGGTTTTTACTATGGCAGGAAGGAAATATATATTGATTGGGCATTGAGGCACATATTTGCTAAGGTCAGGAGTGTAACTTTCAGAACATTAAAAATCCACATAACTTCTGGTGGGTATATAGATCAGACGGAGACCCTGGTATTTTTCAGAATCTGGTATTGTTCAAATAATGGCCCAAGGACAAATACTGAAATGCAGATGACATGCAGAGACACAATATTGATTAAATGAATTGTTGCGAATGTATAAATTGTTAAATAATGCCAATTCAAGATAACATAAAGCTTTTAGCAACCTACTTGATGCTTTGGTATCATCTAATATGTTGATATAAAATGGGGTAAAAGATAAAACTAAAGCTGTCACTTTAACTGTGGTACATTTAAGTAGGAGGCATTATTGAGCTAATGTACCTAGTACTGTTTCATTGATTTTTCTCCTTTAATTCAAAATTAGATCATAACATATTTAGTGCACTACTCAACCATAGAATTATATCTTGTTTACATGGTATATAATAACATTTGATTAATTCTTAACAGTCCCACCCAAGAATGTAGTGCTAACAATCATAAGTACTGGAAAATTTATTTCTTGCAAACTTTGCATTAAGTTGCTGGCTTACAGTTTATGACTGCAAGAGCCTAGACCAGTCTCTAGAAAGGATGCATAGAACTGCAGCTAGGATATTACATTACAATTTAAATTAATCTTGCTAAGAAAATCAACCCTAATTTTTAACGTAGGCAATGGTGGAATTTGCCATAATTTAGTTAATTTTACTTTTCAACTTTTTTTTGCACCATTCCTTGGTAGTACATGTAGGTTCAACTTTTTCCAGTGTTTCCGACATTCTGTACATTCAAATATTGAACATGCACAGAACTATTCATCGAGTGGCAGCACCAGTTACACTGTATGTGTCTAGTAAAATCTTAGATCAATAATAAGCCACTTGATTATGATATCTTTGTGTGGAGATGTTTTGGTAGGTGGGAATAAAACTGCCCTGAATAGAACTCTGATAGCCTGACACTTTAAACACCTAAGCTGCATTATATTGAATGAAAGAATAGAAGAACTAGTTTATAAAAGAAAAATGAATGCATAATCATATGCATGTTATATTCAACTAATACATTTCTGTAATTGTATTTGGATAGCTGTGCTATGATATATTACAATACAAGGTTCTCAAGGTTTGTTTGCATGTACTAGCTGAATGCATTTGTATTTAGACAGACTATGAAGTTGAAATAAGGAAATTTTATGCATCATAAACCATACACTGATAACTTAATTGAGTTCAGTGTTAGGAAAATATTAGGGATAAACCTATGCATTTTAAAGATATTGGATTTTTTTTTTCAAATGTAGCTTTGTGTACATAATCAAAAGTAGGATAAAAAACCCTCCTACATATTAGCACAGTCATTTATGTAGAAACCAAACAGAATCATTAAGTGAATTCTTTTAAGTTTTGTCTGAAATCACAGGCATAGTGTCATAAGCTCTGTTTTTTAATATGTAATTTTTGGGCACAATCATTTTAAAATTGTGGTGAAATGTACCTTATAAATTGATAGATTAACTGACTGGTACCTACTGTAAATGAACTTTCAGGGTTGCATAACTAGTGACTTAGATCTTCAGGGAGACAAAAATAATCAATATGTACGAGTATGGGATTAGTTTGATGATATATGATGTTTTTAGGTGACTTATCTCTCATCTAGGAACCTTACCTGATCCTGAGGATTTAAGTATTCATTTGGTCTAGAAGGATGTAATAACATTAGACTTATCAGCCTTCAGTTGCTGCTTATTGCCATTATTTTATCTCTAAGACTATTTTCTGGCACCTCCAAAACCTACTCTTATTATTTTTTGGCAGTCATTTTTACAGCAGATATGAATTTTGTTTTGGATAGCCTTAAACTTCAAAAACATATATATGTTTGATTGATACATATTTTTTTGCATCAAAGGACACACATTTTTTTTTTGCATCAAATTGAACATAAAAACTGCATTTACTAGTGTTGAATTTTAATATTTTTACATCTAGAACCTTGTTAGTAAGAGCGCATTCTCAACGAATTAAGCCAGGCTTTACAAAGCCGGTGACCTAAAAATGGCGGACGTACATGAAAAAAAAACCGCCTAATCTTTTAATAGTCTCTCCGCCTCTCACACGCCTCCCCACACGTCGTCCCTGCGGGGTACAGTAATTAAATCTCGGCTCCGAACATTAATATTTCCGTGAATATCTCTGGTGATATTATCTCCGTAGATAGTCGATTCATTGCTGCTCTACGGGCCAAATTATTCCTTTTTCGTCTCTGTTTTCAAAGATAATAGAACAGAAGAGCATGCGCACTTAATATTTCTCAGGTAGCTTTCGCATGGCGAACAGAGACGCGATTTAATTACTGTACCCCGCAGGGACGACGTGTGGGGAGGCGGAGAGACTATTAAAAGATTAGGCAGTTTTTCTTTCATGTACGTCCGCCATTTTTAGGTCACCGGCTTTGTAAAGCCTGGCTTAATTCGTTGAGAATGCGCGTTGAGAATGAGAATTTGCATTGGGGCAAGTCCAGTGTGTTAGGTGTGCTTCAACACAATCATAAGACTGCCCAGTAGGATTTACTCAACTACAGCAAAGCATGTAACTTATAATTCAAAAGCCAGTTTACACAGCATAAATGGTAAACTCTTCATAGAATAGAAAAATCTGCCTTTGGCACTTTCAGCTTTTCAGCATAAATTCAAGTTTGGACAGTAGAATTGATCAATTATATGTACAAGTTGAAGAATGGAGTTAAATATATATGGCTGGTGTTTACGATTTCATTAATTACCCAAATTATCTAGCTGTATGAGAGGACATAATTAAAATACATTCATACCATTATCATTACTAAATGTAATTAATAATAATTTGGTTTATGTGTTGATGTAAATTCATAATATGTCAATCTTAAAAAGGTATAGCACTTGTTAATTTGATGTCTGTAATCCTTGTTATTGAAAAGACCATTTTTTTTATTTTTATATGTTTTTCTTAACAATGTCTTTTTTCTTACTGAAACTTGACAGCGGGGTTAGCTTAGATTTCAAATGTGAAGTGACTAAAATAAGAATAAAGGAAACTGCTCTGTTATGTGATGATCAATTCCATTTGACACGATGTTTTTCAGGTAGCTATATGTCATTTTCTCTTTTTTCAAATGTTGAATACGTTATTCTTAAAGACATTCATTTATTAAGTGCGCTATTTACTCAGGAGACTAGGCTTAACAGTTCTGAGCAAATAAAATGGCATTTAGTTATTCAGGTTGTTTTCAATGCTTCGATTATTTTTGTTGGCCATTAAATCCTTCAGTCCTACGTTGCATACATTAAAGTCAGGTGAAGTGTTAGCCTTTCACTGCTGTGCCTAGAAAAGCAATTTTACTACTTATTACCTCTGTCGCTATGTTCTTCTCTTTTATGTCAGTGTGCCACTTGGGTGATATAACTCATGCAGTGAGGGAAGAATTTCTGTTAGTGTCGTTTGATTTGGCAATAATTTTGCTTTGAATCTTGATTGAGCATAAACTGCTTCAGTATTGGTGCAAGACTGCCTCTCAGGTTACTGAATAGGCTGTGTTTATTTTGTTGTTCGATTGACTCAGTTCAAGTGCAGCATTAGATTTGTTAGACAGCTAGGGCTCGGACCCATGGTCGGTGAATACGGTTTGAGGATTTGAGGTTGGATGTTCATATAACAAATGGACTGAACCATTTGAGAATGCTAAAATGTGGTTTCATGAGATAGAGTTGAGTTTCAAAAAGGGTGAGTTTTTAGTGAAAACACTGAAACAATTTTTGTTTTGGCAGAATCGAGATGGGGTAACTTCATTGTAAATATGCACTTAAAAGGGTATTTCAGACAAGGCAAATCTTTTATTATCTATTTTAGAATGTAGTGCTTCATAGGTAATTATCAGATTAATTGTTTTACTAATAATTCCATAATTTGACCAACCAAGATGTGCTTAGTTAGACTGAGAAATTTACAATTTACAAGTATTATCATATTTACTTTTGGTTTATCACTCAACAGTTTTGTTATTTCTGAATTGATTTAAGATTAAATTTAAGGCACAATAGTTAAAATTTAATAATCATTTGACCACACTTATACCTTTTTTCTTGCAGGTCGAAATGAGCGCTATTCCTCTAACCTTCTAACATTCCGTGAGTGGGATAAGACCTATAGCTATGATGTCAGCAGCAGTGATTCCAGTGATTCTGAAGATGAGGCTGAAAATAAAGACAGTAAGTACATGTTTTCATTCTGTATTGTAGTATTTTTGACACTAACAGATTTCTTGCTCTCTTACTAATTATTTTTATTTTCAAAGAAGAGAATTTTTTCTTTATTAAGTGATGTTACCAATGCTTAAGTTTTATGTTTGAAAAAACATTATTATATTGCATATTTAAATTGTCCATTTAAGTAATAAGTTAAATTAAAAGAGGCTTATTACATACCTGTTAGTTTGGTGAAAGCAGATGGAAATAGAAGGCTTTGCAAAAAAGTCCTTTTTTTGTGTTTTGACCCAAAGCTTTACAGCATACAGGCAGCTCCTGGTGGCAAAAGTTTTGCCTTGCCTAATATTTTAGATACATTTGACCCAATAATACATGTGAATTTGTGTAAAATCTGTAGTTTCATGCTTGAAACCTTGCAAAATGTTCTTTCACTACCAAAAAGGTGGCATAAATAGGGAAAAGATAGTACAAAGTGGCAGAAGTTCTGTCTCAGAACTCTATCTCAGTACCAGTGAGCAGGGAACTGATGATGATAATGATGACGACAGTAACAGTGTTCAAGAAAAATCTGCCAACAGCAGTGATTGTAATAGTAAGTGGCTGTGAGCTGCAGCTTAGAATCCTGGGAGCTGTGCTTGGGTGCTCTGGCTAGCTATACGTGGTAGTATGCCATTATATAGTATCTAAATAGGGAGGTTTGTGCTCCATGTCTTGTCTGACAAACGTTATTGCTTTGCCTTTTAGACTGCATGAAAATGCATTCATTGGCAGTAAATTGAATATCAGATAGGTTGAATTTTAACTGCACACTATTTTCCTAAGATCTAATCTTATTGATTTTCAACATGTCCTATAATTATAAGAGTGAGGTGTAGGAGAAAATTATTTCAATCATGGGAATTGTGTGTTTGATGGATGTGGAATTTTATAAAGAAGGGTTCTGAATAGTGTACTGTCTGTAACTTATTCTAAGAATTAACAATGAATTACTGATAGCTACAGTAAAGGACAAGTCAGTTTAGGGGATTTCAGTGTTGTAACAATATATAAGAAGATCAATGAGGGTTAGTCTAGTGCTAACATTGATTTCTGAGGGATTTCAAGTTCCCTTGTCAAATCTTAGTGTACAGCAAGTGCATGGTTAATCCACTGGCTTTAGCATGTGGTTTCTGTGTAAGATTCACCCAGGGTTTAACCAAAATCAATTGCATGATATTATTATCCAGTGGAGGGGATGGCAAGGGGAAATCTAGTATCTACTGACAGATCACATTGACTGTTTTGTAATAAAACATAAGAAGAAAGGACAATAGTTTGAAAGGGAATGCTAAGCAAACACGCCTCCGGGCAAGGATACATGTAAAAATGGCCACTCAAATAGAATGTACTTTGATCGTTTGTTAGTTTGAATGTTTCTCATCTACCCTCCCCCCCCTTCCAACACCAACTCAATATCAAGGAAATCCTAGAAGGAAACAATGTATTGTTTCCATTAGATCACCTGTCTAAAGAAAGAGAGATATATGCAGTTCTTGTAATGGATGTGTGCAGAGAATTTGTTGGGTTTCCTTTGATATATAATGTTGATTGTAATTATGAAGATGATGAGGATGGCTATGATGAGGATGAAGATGAGGGCACACTATGTAATACAGGTATTACCTTACCGGTACATATGCAGGGAAGGTGCATTAACTATTACAAAATATTTTAAACTAAATATTTGAACTTTTAATATACTCTCCTTATCTCAAAGACTCATTAGAAAGATTGATTGTAAGGTAGGAAAGTATATAGCCTCTGATAAAAAAAAAGATAGACCACTTACCTTCCTGGGTTAGAGGTCATTCATATTGTATGAATTTGATCTATGTACATGTACAATTTATGCGCATGTTGGTGGGGAAGGGGGAGGCAGATTTTTACCTTTCAGAAACATTAATTATGGATTACTTTTAAAGAAAATAGTTATGTTTCTTCTGTATGTCATGTAGATTGAAAAGTTGATGTATTATTATTGCCAGAACTCTTCTATGAAACATTATGAAGTTGAGCAGCAAGTGTTACTAGTGGCTTGTTATGCCCAAAGGGTAACCCTGACTTCAACTGTTTGCTCACTGGCTTAGCACAGGTCCACTGTGATCATGTTAGCTGAATAGCAAACTAATATTTGCATTAACTGTCGCACAGAAAGCTCTCTGATGTTTATCCAGGCTTAAGATTTCCAAATTTGCTGCTGAAAGGAATCAGTTATAATGGTTGATTCTCTCTGACCGGTAGTTTCATTCTGATGAAGTCTGCAATAATAATATAATTGAGAAAACCCGATTGTTGTGGTAACTTTTCAGACTTGTGAAGGGGACCTTTTTTGTAAAGCTTATAATAGATATGCGCATTTAGAATTTTAAATTATGCACAAACAAAAACATATTTTGTGGAGTGACTCTAAGCTTGATGCTCATAGATATCAGGTTGTGCAGTTATTCTAGTCATGTGTACATAGTATTTGCTAGTTCACAAGAAACTGATAAAATCAAGGGCTAACACTTCAGAAAGATGGTATTAATAAGGTGTAATGGCATTGACAGGGGTTATAACATGGTGGCAGAAGTTGAATTTTAAACACTGTATATTTTTCACTTATGCATTAAAAGTGTGAAATGTTTCCAAATGCTTTTGTGAAGTTGATGTATTGTGAAAATCTAGTTAAAAGATACAGGGGCTCAATAATTACTCAGAATTATTCTGTTAAACAACTTTTGATTGTGCTCTCAATACTTTCACTGTATGCCAAGAGTTGGCTTTGCTTTCTTTATTCATTCAAAACATTCAAATGCATCTTCTCAATTGTTTTTTGAAATTTTAGTTCACCAGTTTAGCTGAAATTCATCAACATTTCGCCATGAAAAACCAGCATGCATGAGCTCAGATTTATAGTTTTTTAACTGCTATTTAAACATCAGTGTTGTACACATCATATTGATAATGTCTATTATAAAGGTAACACCTTTGTTTTAAAATGAAAAAAGATTATGGTTACTAGTAAGCAAAAAGTACCGGGTGACTATATTTCATATTATTATTATTATTATTATATTATTATTATTATTATTATTATTTTGGTCAGATGCTTGTTATCATGGTATTGCTATGGCTTTTTTTTATATGCTTGTGATTTTTTGTTTGATCAAAATATGTATTGTGACACAGATAATTGGAAAGCTTTGGGTAGAATTTTATGCTTCAGCTCTAGCTTTATTTCAATTCAGCTGCCTACTTGCTTCAATATTTTACCGCCTTTCTTTATAATTTTTTAAATTAAAAGATAGGCTCTTTTTTTGAGAATATCTGCTATTCTTGAAAAACACATCAATTATACATATTAGGCAGAATGTTGATATTGATTTAATTTAGATTTTAAAACATTTTTTAGACCTGTTTCGGGATGATTTCACAAGAACAACTCAGTTGGTATACAGTTACCAGGCCGGGAAAATGGTAGGGATCTTGAACTTTTCAGTTACTTTCCTGATTATTCAAGAAACATTGCTAAAAAATGTACAAGGGAAAAAAAGAAATAAAAGAAAGTAAAACATTAAAATAAATTTACAAAGAAAGTTGAAGTTGAATATACAATGTACTGTATTAGTATAGAAATGATGGAAGTCCTATTGTATATAATGGTATATCTCTGAGGCAAAAAAAAAGGAAAGTGTGTCTTTGACAGCTGTTATTTAAGAATGTTGGCCACTTGATTAAAAGATGAATTATTGGATCTTACATTTGTATCAACTGTTCCAGGTGCCCAGGTTACGGGAGCCCAGGCAGCTGTATGCAATGGAGTTTGGACCACAACAGGCTGCAAGATGGTGAGTTGTGTTCTAAGTGCCTAGATAATGAGAGGAAACAGTCCTCCAACCTCCCTCCCTTGAGAAATGTTTTGTTATTTGTGCTAAAACCTATTGGATATATTGCCATCTTCTATTTCAAAATAGATCTATGCTGCATTTTTATATATAAATATACACAGAGATGATAACTTGAATATCAAGGTGACAGTTTTTTAGGTACCTTTGAAACCCCAGCTAAGTGACATGTTGTTCACATATAAATTTTGACTGTGGGTTTAGTCGCGTAATTCATTTATTGATATTTTTGTTTATTTATTTATACTTAATGGCTTGGAAAAAGTTCAAAATGTGGTCCACCGTCCAATGCATTTTTTTATAAAAAAACTTTTGCAAATAGCTCTTGGTATTTGCAACAGTGCAGGTGATAAATGATACATATGACAGGTATCATAAGTCAAGTATGCATGCATGTCAGTTTTTTTCCCACATGAATATTTCAACACATACATGTATATTGAATGCATGTTTTGTTTCAATACCCCAGAGACTTACCAGTCCAATTAACTGTAGGTGGGTGGTTAGCCACCATCTTAATGCCACAGGGCTCAGGTATAGCAGCACATGTAATGGAAATGAACTGAAATATGACAGTGAATAGAAATCAGACAATACTAACTTCCTTTATCAGTTTCATCAGCACAAACTTTATCTTCAGTGTCAGGTGTGCTTCCCTACATGTATAGAGTATCAGACACAGTGTAGGCAAATATCTTGTCTGAGGGTAAGATGATTTTGATGATGTACTTTATCAAAATTTGGCTTTAAAAAGTTCAGTCCTTCAATTATATTATTAGTGAAGGATGAGAAATCTAGGCAATTGACTGTGAAAAGCGTTATTATATAGAGGTTTCAGGTCATTGACGATTTTTTTACAAAGGGATTAATTTAATGATGGATGGTTTTGCAGTTTTGTACCATATGGCTATTATAAGCACATGTTTATACAATGGTAAAAACACCCAGTTACATATAATTTCCCTTTCCACTAGGTTTGTTCAATTTATCACAGTCTTTTCACCTCACTGATGTCTCCTAGAAAATCAATACCCATGCACATGAAAGCCCAGCACAGGTGTCTATAATGGACTTGTTAGATTTTTATGGATTGTCTATTCAGAATAGCTGTCATACTCTGCAAGGATTCATTAATATACAGCCCCAACATCTCAATACTACGGAAATGAAGTAATTGTCGTGCATTGTATTTAATTGATAGATAGCACGTATTCTATCATTAGTGCTGTGAAAATTACGAAAATAATAAGAGGCAAAGTAACAGTGCTGGGTCCTTATTCAAAAGAGCATCATGTTATAATGACCAAATTCTGTTTTAAACAAGAATATATTGATGAGTTGGATCATATTGGTGCAATTCTTTTAATCTGGATACAATAGGAGAGCATACTATTTTAATTTTATTGATTATACTTTAGTTTAGCAATACAAGTTTGAAGTACATGTACACTGTAGATCTATGTATGTTATAAAGATTCTAGAAGACAATTTAAGACTTCAACAAGCCATCTCAATCCTTTCTGATGGGCAATGGCAATGTTGTAAAATTGATCAGAAAAACAATGAAGAAAACCAACACAGTGTCGTATGTGTTAAGGTGGAGGTAATTGAGGATGAAATGTTTACTGAACAGTGACAACAGGAGTTTTGTTGTTAATAACAAACAGATGAATAGATGATTGTCAAGGGCAGAGAACAATTTAACTTGCAGTTGTCACTTGGAGTCATTTTCACCTGTCTGTTCTCGACAGTGTTGCAGATTTGAAGGGGGACAATATGTAATGGAGAAGTTCAAACAAGCTTGACTGTGGCAATGCTGAACAGTGCATAATTCTAAGTTAAAATTTGATTGTCTGTTGACTTTCAAATTGGTTCTTAATCTTTATTCATAAAATGAATGGCAGATTTTACTTCACTTTTGGTTTTATTCGCAGGCCATCAGAAATTGAAGTGCTGGATGAACTGATAAAACACATCAGTTATGTGCCACCTGAACCTGAAGAATTCTACCGTCCAAGTAAGTGTTTGCACAAATGAAAATAAAATTGCATCAGATCATTTAAAAGATGTGTATTGTAGTTACCAGGATCCAACTGGTTCATATTTGTATAATCTGTAGTTAAGTGGCTTGGTTCCAATTTAGCGCTTTTATTGTATTTTTAGTTGTCTTTATGATATACATACATGTAAGTAAGTATAGAAGGCATACTTACTACACAGAATTTTTCATGTAAATGTAGCACTGCTGTCAAACTTCAGTTTTCAGATCATATTAATGATTAGCTTTTAATGTTTTTTAATTGTATAAATTTGAAGGATTTGACTAATATTGAAAATTATTTTAAGAATTACATGATAATTCAGATTGCCTATTTTTTCAGCTGGCTCAGAACTAAGGCCTCTTGCTAAGGGAGAGGATGAAGGCCTCTGTGTTTATTACTATGATCCACAACCAGGACCATTTGTAAGTCTTATATTGTACTTAATACATGTTTCTTAGTAGTGGCAACAAGAATTATCTGCATGTTTGAGCAGAGATGATATTTTATACTGTAACATTTAAAAGTATATAACATGCATTTTAGATAATAAGTTAATAAAAGTTTATTGCTGCAACATTGCAAGAAGTAATGAAAATATGCAAAAAGTAAGTTCAAAAGTTTCATATTGTCATAATAAATTAATATTAAATGAGACAAAATGATATTTGTTTTATGCAGCTGTACATGTATGCTATTATTCATAAATGTACATGAAGAAGTGGTATATTGATTCTGACAGGTGTGTCTGTCCATGCTGATGATGTGTCTACATACATTAGCACCAGTAAACTCACAGTTACAAATAGTTGTAGTAGATTTCATACACAGAATATTTCTTGGTTTCATTTTAGTTCATGAAGTCTCGAGTTGGTGGGTTGAGAAATCCTCTTTCCAGTACAGCCTATGCTCACAAGCCTCAGTCTCCAGATGACACCACCCTAGTCTTTGAGTCCAGGTTTGAAAGTGGAAACCTTTTCAAGGTGTACAAAGTGTAAGTTTGTTTTTAGGAATTGTTAATGTTATCACGTTTCAAATTATATTGTCCTTCCTCTAGTGGCAACCATAGCACGTAATCAATAATTGTCTGTCAGCTCTAGCATGTTTGAATAATATTATGGAATGAATAGCAGTGATCATTTAATTGTCTGTTCATATGTAAAGAACCTTTTAACTTTTTTGTTCAACACGTGATAAATCCATTTTGGCAAAACTTTCACTTTAGGCACTAAACGGTGCAGGTGTAATGATGAATTGTGGAATTTAAAAAACCTGTGTCATATTTCTCTGTGTAATTTTATTATTCTGTTGTTTTATTTTCCAGTGGAGACTATGAGTATGAACTGTGGTTGAGGAATGACTTGTACACTAACAAGCACACACAGTGGTTTTACTTCCGTCTCTCCAACACCAGACCAAATGTCAAATACCGGTTCACCATTGTCAACTTCATGAAGGTCAGAACACTGTAATTTGAATCATATCATAAAACATCTACGAAGTGATAGCAAGTGTGGCATTACCCATTCTTTTATTTAGATTTTTACCATTATCAAGTTCTGTCAGGCTTGCTGTCATCAACAGTCTACATTTCCATGACACTGCCTCCTAAAACAGTTCCAATAACAACTTTTCTTTGGTGGCTTAATTAATTATTCTCAAAGCAAACTTAAGGGAATGAAACAAAACTGTGTATGTTTTGTTTTATCACACTGAATATGTCATGTTATTATCTGAAAATATTTCTTCAGTAGCTGAGAAGTTTCCAGTGAGATTTTTGTGTCTGCTTTCAGCCTGACAGCCTGTACAACAATGGCATGAAACCCTGCATGTACAGTGATAAGAATGCTGCCAACAACAAAATTGGCTGGGTTAGGGCAGGCTCAGAAATCAAATACTACAGGAATAATCTAAAGTAAGTGCTTGTTCAATCAGTTAAATGAATTTATTTGTTTGGTGACTTTTGATATTTTGATTAGTTTTAGGAATGTCCTGAATTAATTCTGAAGTTGCAATTTGTTTATATAGGTATAATTTTGGCAAAGGAGGTGAGAGGAATTACTACAGTCTAACCTGGACATGGCAGGCTCAGTACAAGGATGACACTTGCTACTTTGCTCACTGCTATCCATATACATACTCAGACTTACAGGTGGGTGTGACCTAGTGAAGGGTGCATTGAATTGGAGTTGTACATCTTTCAAGTTTGCTTAGGGATATTTTTTCTTTTGCCAAAATTTGTGAAATAATGCTATTGGTGGCTAAGAGTTTTTTTCATATCTAAAATGAGTAGTTTTAGTCCTAGATATAATGTAATGATTTTGTGTTTATTTGAAAACCAAAACTAAAGCTATTGTCCTATATAAATTGTATTGCAGGAATATCTTATGAACATTGCAAATGATCCAATCAAGTCACGGATCTGCAAACAAAGGGTGCTGTGTCGTACTTTGGCAGGAAATCTAGTCTATGTTCTCACCATAACTTCTCCTGTGTCAGCCACCCAGGGACATGATAGTAAAGCAAGAAAGGTGAGTTAAGAAATCCCAGACATCTTCTCCAGATTATCTTGAAATATTCAGTTTAATGTTGAATTCTGCCTTATATGTCAAACTTTTCTATTGTCAGTTATATACAGTTATACTCTATGGACTTTTAGTGCTTGTTGTAAAATATTGGAGATGATATATACTGACATTATTTGATAATTGATATTATTATTATGTTGGTTATCTGTAGCTGAAGAAGGCAGTGGTGCTAACTAGCAGGGTCCACCCTGGAGAAACTAATGCTAGCTGGATGATGAAAGGCTTCCTGGACTTCCTTACTGGGACTTCACCTGATGCCAAGGTTAGAGAAGAGTATATTAATTCTTATATTTGAATTAAACCTGTAGTCATTCTCTGGCAATCACATCTTTGTGGAAAGTATCATCACTGCAAGTATCTCAATACATTTTTTAAACATTAAGATTATTTGATGAGTTTTATAAGCTGTCACTTTGAACATATGGATATTTGACTTTAAAAAATTTGAACCACTTGTTTTCTCTAGGAACTTTCAGTCAAATGAGCCCAATTCATTCTTTTATATTTTGTTTCTTTTTTATATGCAACTTTATCCCAAAAAGTGTAATTTTTCTTCCAGCTCTTACGTGACACATTCATCTTCAAAGTTGTGCCAATGTTGAACCCAGATGGAGTGATAGTGGGGAACTATCGCTGTTCCCTCTCTGGGCGAGACCTCAACAGAAATTACAAAACTATCCTAAAAGATTCTTTTCCCTCCATATGGCACACAAAGGCCATGATTAGAAAGTAAGTTAAATAATAAAAAAATTAAACAACTTTTTGAAATGTTGATTTACCATACTTGTGAGTGAAATTTTCTTTGTGAGAAAATATTGAAATTAAATTTTTTTCACACTCAGAAAATGATTTAAATGATAATCATTATAAGAAAAAAAAATTAAATGAAACTGACTAACATTTTAATAGAAATAAAATTGACTTTACAGTTTGTATGTGAATTTATACATATTGCCAAGAGGTGGTTCATATGAAGGGTTTTCATGATCATTAGAAAATAAAAACAACTTGTGTTCAACTTATTTTCTAGATTGAAAGATGAGCATGAGATTGTCACATACTGTGATCTCCATGGACACAGCAGGAAGATGAATGTGTTCATCTACGGCTGTGAAAACAAGTACAATCCAGACAAGAGATTTAGAGAGAGGGTCTTCCCAGTAATGCTCAGCAAGAATGCCTCAGACAAAGTGAGTTGTTTGCATTGTTTCCACAAACATTGTTATTATAATGTTGCATATTTGATACCTTACCTGTAAGGAAAGTATACCATTTAATAAAAAGACTGCAAACTGCACAATCACACAATGTAAGATGAATATTTTTTTTCATGTATTTCATTACTGTTACCAAGGAATTAGTTGTTTTTTTCTGTAAATTACCATTTTCTCTTGCTGTCTTAATATTTCATGGTTTTTGTTTCTAGTTTTCTTATGAGTACTGCAAGTTCAAAGTTCAAAAGAGCAAAGAGGGCACAGGACGCATAGTGATCTGGAACATGGGGATAATGAACAGCTACACTATGGAGGTTGGTTTACTCTTATAGTGATTATGCATATTGATCTGATTATGAATTAAAGAGAATTAAGGCATGGCCATTATCTTAAATTATGTTGTTACCATTTAAAGGGGTGTGAAGCTTAGTAAAGTTCACATGTAAGTAGGTATATGTATTGACATGTACAGAAAACAAACAAATGTAAGAAAAAAATGTTATACATACTCTACTCTAGGCAACATTTGCTGGTTCTACCCTTGGCAAGATGAAGGGGTACCACTTTAGTACTGCTGACTTTGAGGCCATGGGCTACCACTTCTGTGATACTCTGCTGGACTACTGTGATCCAGATAAAACCAAGGTCAGTGCCCACATGACCTCTGTAGTTTATATTTAATTTGAGAGCTTTTCAACATATATGTAATTTTTTTATATGAATGCATGTAGGCCATGTGGTAGACCATTCTGGCAATTTCAGGTCCTAATGGCAGAAAGCTGTGTCTTTGTATGTAATATTTTATTATTTTTTCATTTTACCATAATAATAGTGGTATGCTTAACTAGATTTGTATGTGAAATGAATTAAATGTCAAAGTAAATAGTTACATATATTGTGACATAGCAGTTGCTTAAATGTGCTAGTTGTGAATGTTTATGTATAATACTAACATGTATTGTGATCATTGTGAGTAATAACATGTTAAGTGCTTAATTTTATAGATTAATCAAATTGAAAAAGGATTGGTAAATAGCTCTAACAACTGTGTTGTTCCAAATTAACCTGAAGTGTGATTGTATTCTGCATTCTATGCTGCTTTGAGTAATATTGATCTTATTAGTTGAAAGTGAAGAGAAATCAAGAAGTGTGACAACCCTCTAACAATTTTTATATGTTCTTTTTAAACTCTTGATGCTGCTTCCAATACAACATCATGGTAAAACTTTCCCTCTTTATTTGGTTTGGTGCACACTGAATTTACAATTTGTTTGGTTCTTTTTTATTACAACCATTCTTGAATATATTTTTGGGTCTTTTTATCAATAGGATTTAGACAATCTTTTGAAACATGTCTCAGTTTATGAGGATAGGCTTGATAAAGTCAGGGAGGGGATTGCTATAAGTAGAATTTCGGTAAGTTTTGGGGTTAAGGACATGAACAATATTGTGTGCAGATCTGTACTTAAATGAATAATGTGAACTTTGGCACCCCTGCCAGTTACCAAGTGCAAGTATTGTTTTTAGGAAAATAAGAAAAATAAGAAATAAAACTGGTTATTTTTATTTTGAATAATTTGTACATGCTTTTATTTAAGATGTGTTCAGCAATTTTTGTTGTGCTAATTTAGTTTTACTTGCATGTTAGCATATTTAGTATCTGGACAGTACTTATCAAAAATGCATTGCCTGAATTTATTGATTTGTAGATAGTGCATGTGCATGTATGGCCACATTGTAATACCCCTACCTTACCAGCACTAACAATGCATGATTCTTAATTAGGAATCCATTTGAAAATATTTATTTTTATGTGTGACATAATGTAGATGTGAAATGATTTCAGATACATCTATCTTTATCTTCATAGGAAAAAACTTTTAATTTTTTTTAGTTTCCTTAGAATTTCTATGATACCCATTTGATACTCCTTTCTTAGTAAGATGAGGTTATATTAATTTTGGTCTCTTTGCAACTCTTCATATTTGAAGTTTCTAAATATATGATTATTTGACTAATGACTTGAAAAGCACGATGTGATTTTAAAAATGCAAATTAATTCATCAATTTTTTAAAAAACTTAAATGTGAATAGAATAACCAAAATATGAAAGTATGATTCATCATTGATGTAATTACAAATATATGAAAGTAGCAGTATCCTTAATGGTGAAAATTGGGTAAGTATAATGCAAGGGTATGTCGCTGTGATGCGTTTGGATATCTTTACTTGTATTACATGGTTACAAGAGCCTAAGATATATTTTGCTGTCTCCATAAAAGTGTTGCTACTGTCTTTCATGTCTAAAATTCTGCTATAAGGTAATACTTTCAAAAAAATAATATACATATCTTATTGAATCGTTTCAGTGTGACAACATTCTCCTTGAACTGGAGGACCGTCTGAAGCAGGAGGTTATGAAAAAGTTGCAGAAAGATGGCGGTGCAGAAGTCATCAACCTGGAGGATGACTTCACCAGTGAAATGGAGTCCAGGTACTGAATCCGTACTTGTCTAGATTAATTTGTGGCATATGATCGATGCATTCGTTATTTTAATGGAACATGGGTGTCCCTGTAAATCGAAATCCATTAAGAAAATAAGAACAATTGACTAAGTGTAGCACTTAAATTTGGCAAGTGTGATAGATGATGTGACAGGCTCACTCCTGTAGACCAGTACAACTTTGTATGTGTTATTTCAGTGATGGTGGCTCAGACAGCTCTGTGTCAGATGGGCTTCCTGTACATCTCCAGTACCTGGCTGACAGGGTGAGTGACGACATGATTTTGTTCAGTAGACTGAAACAAAAAGAAAGAAAATTGACACTCTTGAATTTCTGTGAGTTCTTGGCATTTGCTCACAATGATGATATTGTTCTGTATCAAGCATTGTTAAAGTTTTCATATGCAGACTTTTTGTCATTAGTTCTTATCAATCTAAACAGTTTTTATATTTCAATGACCAATGTGTAATTTCCCAACACAGCTTCCAAAGAAAAAGAAAAAACTAAAAACTAAGAAGGAGAGAGACAAACACCAGTGTATTGCCACTAAAACAAAAATACAGGCCACACCAATATCAGTGGTAAGTAAGGGAAGCAGCTATTTGTTATCTTTTAAGATAATCAATATTCATTACTCTTAAAGTTAGATTTCAACTTAAGAATAGCACCAATCTAGCAAGGAAATGTGGCCCATTGAATAACAAGGAGATAAGTTTGACAAGTCTGTTTCCTGATCCGAGATGGATAAGAGGTGACATATTTCTATGTTGCATTATTAACTTATCATAGTAAATAACTTTTCTTTGATTGCATTCTCAATGATTTAACGCAGTAATTGGGTCTTCCACATGGTGTACCCTCTCAGCATCATTAGTTTGCTATATATGCATGCTTCCCAATTTCAGCCAGTGCCATCTATATCTGAGGCCACTAGTGCTAATACTAGTAATAGTACTGGTATTAAAGTCAAACCCAGGGAAAGTGTGCTGCCAAAGGTACCAGAACGGTTTGAAGCAGCCAAAATACAAACCACCGCTTTGTTTTTGATAATTTGCTAAAGCTATTTTTTTGCACTGGACAGTATATCAAACTGGCTGTTGACTTAATTGGGGTCATTTTATTTCATTTCAGACAATGAGAAACACAACTTTTGATATGTACCATTGCATGCTCATTACTTACAGTGGCTTAGCTTTTTTCAGTTTTATTAACTGCCAAGTGGGTCAAGATGTAGAATAGTTTTTTTAATGATCTAATAAAATAAAAATATATAATACATTTTAATGGAAATGCACATGCAGCTTTAAGATCACAGCTCTGAGGAATACATAATGCTATGTTTTAATACATAATGGCATTAAATATGACATGTACATATGCATCATAAAAGCCAGGACAGTCACTGTTCCATAAAAGCTTGGACAGTGTAAGCTTAGTGTGTATATTACAGTGGCAAACACATCTGCTTATTGTGGAGTTCATATGGTGTACAACTAGATATTTAGACAAATTGGGTTTTTAGTGCATATTGTTTTATGCTAAATGTTTGTATGTTACTAAAGTGGTTTATGTGAAGGTACAGGGGACAACATACATATACATTACTTCAAACAACACATTGAAAGTTATTTTTTTTATTAAAAATTAAATACTATATGCCAGCACATAATATCATAGTTTTTCAGTGTCATAAAACCAAAATTTACTTCTAGTTTGTTAATTGACATGTATTTTATGAAGGCTCATGTCTGACATAATAATATGCTTCTCTGCTCATGTGTAATTATGAAATATTTATTTTTAGGAGGAGAAGAAGAAACCACAGGTAAATGATATAAAGTCTGCTGCACTCAGAAGGGATGAGCATCCCGGACCATAGGATTATAATTATTCCATTAAAAGATAAACCTTTTGACACATACCAGTGGTTCAGCTTAAGATGCAAAGATTTAGTAGTGATTTCAGTTTTTGAAAATCCCATTAATGATAAACAAATTTTGACAAAAAAAATCTGACATTCAGACTGATCATTAATAATGCCTTTAAGGGCTTTTAACAATTTTTTTTACAGTATTAAATGCAAACAGTTCTTAAGGGTTTTATTCTGTCTGTAGCCTGCCATGATCCAGCCCCCACTCAAGTACACCACAGTGCCTCCCCAGCGCACCAAGTCACGGGATGACAGAACCAACAACGGTATTCCTATCTTTGTACAGGAAAGGTGTGAAGAGAGAGCTACTAAGAAGGTATGGGCATTTAGAGGGTGATGGGAAAATATGTGACCTCAATATTGAAATTTATATCAAAATAACTATAATCCAAACATTTTATTAATACATTTTATATTGCACTTGGAAAATAGAGCTGACCCAGAATGGGTGTAGTTCTATGCATTTATCAGCACATTTACTAAATTTTTAGTTGTCTTTTTGTTAAGCATGATAATTTTGTCAAAGTATATCATTTTATTTGTAACATATTAACTGCATGAATAAAAAAAATTGACATTATGTAATTGCATATAGCTTAAAGAATTCGCACTCAGTAATACTAGCACCATATTAAATGTATCTTTTTTGACAGTTTAACAGTATGCATGATATAGTGTATTGGATTTTCAAGTTAAAAGAGGAAGCCATGGTTCGAAAGCATAGCAATATGGCCTTGCAGTGTCGCAGCGCAGCAGCTTATAGCTTGCTTATTGCCAAAGTTGTGTCGTAGATTTTAATAAAGTAAAAACACTTGTTTTTGTTTGTGTCAGTACAATTTTATGCTGTTATGCAAAATGTTTGAACTTCTGCATCATTTATCTGATTTTGAAACGGGAAGTATTCCATACTTTTGTATTAAATCAAATCAGTAGCAGATATTTGGATTGTAAGACCTGCATGAAGAGATGCTAGTTTTGGATTTTGGATAAATTGCATGGTTTCCTCTTGGTGAAAAAAAAATTAGATAATGGGATAACATTTGCTTTCTGTGTATTTGTTATGTCTGACTTGCATCCGCTATATTTTGTTTCTTACCTAGCTGTTGAAAGAATTAGCAAAGAAGGTTTGTATGGTGTTGGAGGTAGATTTAATTTGTATGGTATTAATCTCTAACCTAGTTTGAAAAGATGTTTACTTTGATATTTTGAATAACTTTTGACTTTGTTCACGTTTGATGTTTTAACACCTGGATGTGCATTTGTTTATTTGACAAAATAATTTTACTTTTATTGTTGCTTTTTACACATAACTGACACCAGAAAACTTCATTTTGAAATCATTTTAAGTTTTACTCAATTTAACAAAGCAGTTAGAGTTGTTAAAGATTCTGGCTTTGTCATTCTCTAAATGTACAAGAATCGCCACTAATATTTATCAAATGTTGCTGTAAGTACATATAAATTATCAGATAGTGTGGCTTCAGCTTACAGGTATTTGTCTTGTGACACTTCATTTCACAAAGGCTTGAGTGATTGCTGTTGTTGCATTGGATGAGGGGCTTATTGTAAATTATTAGAATATGTACATTGTAGGTATTTGTATACAGGTTATAACATAAATTGTCAGGTACCCAGAAAATGTATGCAATGTTATAACTTACTGCACTGGAACTGAAAAACTGAGAAACTTGAAAAAAAATATTTGGAAATATAATATAAAAAGAGAAATGAAAACTTCTTAAATTGTATCACTCGAACACAATTTTTTTCCAAGTCTAAAGGTGTTTTTACAGTCAAAGTATTGACCAGTGCAGATGAGTTAGATAGTACTTTAATATCTTAAAGGAATAGTGAATCAGCTTAAAGTGATAATTTGACATAGTTATACTTAACAAAGTAGCAAGTATGATGACCTTATGCTGCTTTAACAGTAGGAAAACATTAGAAGCATTATTTTATAATGATAATTAAGATGTCTTAGAAAATCATGATTTTTTTTTTTTTTTAGATTTCGAATAAAAAGAGTTGCTTCTTAGTTTTAGAAAAGTCACTAAACAGGAGTAGTTGCTGACAGTTATTATTTTAGTGAAACAGAAGATCATTTGCCTCATAGATGAAAATATCAAAATCTTCCTGAGCATCTCTTAATTTTAGAGTTTTGCTTTTAAAATGCTAACTAGAGAGCTGGGAAAAATTCTTTGCATTGGTAAAATAGTTGCAGATATTAACCAATGATTTCCATTTTGAAATTCCAATTTGCAGTACAGTATGAAATAAAGTGTTTTCTGAATAGTTAAAAGATTCTGTTTTCAATGGAAGTCTGATTTTTAAATTCTGTCAATTTGTAGTATTGTTTACACATTTTTATTTGTTTTCATTTGAGATAAATATTTTATCCTCAGACTGAGTACCTTGATGCCTTGACCCAAGCTTACCTCAGAAGTGGAGTCCTAGTTTCCCAAGATCCCACACCTTTCAAAGGTAAAGATGCCTTCCTTGTCGCAGTTTTAGCTAGCTTGTGTCTCTGTTCTCTTGCTGTGCTCTATATGTCTGTTACCAGGGAACATTCTGGGTTCTTTAGCCCTTTTTGTCTCTGGAATGATTTCAGAACAGCCAACTTAAGGTCAAAGTGAATGTGGCTAGAGTCTAGATTTTGACTTTCATTAAGCTCTTTTTATGGTAGATAGAAACTCTGTTTGGTACTTTCTTTTTATAAAAACTTCAAGATCTACGTAAGTAGTCCTTTGAAAATTTGTATTTACTAGTAGTTAGAAAAAGAGAATCTAGACTTGACTAGCTGTTTTGTTTTTATGTATTAGTTGAATGTATTTGTTTTTATTGTTTCTTTCTTGCACAGTACCTACTGCTAGTGCTACTTCTTTGCCGTCAGCAGTAGGCAATGGGGCTGCTGGAGTCACTCCGCACCTCCGCTACTCAGCAAGCGGAGACAATAATTATAGTAACCTTTTCCTGGAGAGTAATACTAGTAGCACTGCAGTCAGTGTCCCACCTTCTTCTGAACACTTAAGCCAACACCATGAGAGAGCATATGCTGCACACTTAATGAACAACCAGCAACTGCATTCTGTTGTTAGAGAAGGTACTTTGTGGGTGATATTGTGCTTGCACGGCATGTTGATATGCTTTGTGGTGGGCCTCCATGTTGTGCACTTACAGCTCCCAGCTATTGTGTTGTGTGTAGTGTTGGTGCTGTGACATCATTTTCAGAGTGAAAATTTTGAAATATGTAAAAATATCAATCCGTTTTTCATTGGTGGATGATAAGTATATCTGAAAAGCCTGTTCTTTTATGCAGTGTTATGAATTGGCTTTTAGCTCATTGCTACCATATGGTATTGCTTTAACCTATAGACCATAGATGTCAGTGCATGCTTTATAAAGAATATTTTAGGACTAATGTATGGTAACAGTGTTCTTGCAGGTTTTGATACACGATTTTTCAGCGTGCATAAGAGCCTTGAGCTTTTCATAAATATTGTATTTGGTACTAATTTCCCCCTTATTTATTTTGAAAATTTGTCTCAAATGTTTCTTGCAGATTGTATATCCCATAATACTGTTCTTAAACATTCTTCTTTTTATTGACACAAATTTGTTTTTTAAATATATTATTTTCAATTATTTGTATATAATATTTGCAAGCAGTAGTTACACAGAGGTCTATTTTAATTTGGATTTCTTTTATTCATTTTATGCCTTTTTTACATTCTAATTGTTATGAATGTTTAGATAAATATTTGAGACATTACTTTTTAGAATAACCAAATTTGCTTTGCTACATATTTGTAGCACATGCACAATAAAAAGAACCCATAACAATGTCTTAGAACACAAGTGTTTTCAAATCTCAAACTACTCAAGCTGTAAAGTGCACTTCTTCATACTGTAGGAACAGTTAAGTGTTTCTAAGTATCTTATGTGGAATACAAGTATTATTTACATTGAATAGGAATACCTTTTTGGAAATGATCATGTTGCCCCTATGTGATACATCATGTTAACCACTATCTACTTACAGTGTCAGTTCAGTCTGTCCATCCCTACATTGTAAAAGTCAGTTGTAAACTATATCACAGTTTTGTGCCTATATTTATTCAATTGAAATGTTTAACCAGTTTTTTTTTTACAAATGTATGCATATTATATAACTGATTCTAGGTTAATTTTAGTAGTCTATATTGCCAAAAGCCTAAGTGATCGTAGTGCAATTTTATAACAGAGTATTTAATGCTATCAGAAATAGAAGTAATTTTCTCCCCTGTTGTGAATCATCAGGTGTTTGCACATTCTGCTTTTTATTTTGGTTTTCACATGCAACTAACTCTTTTTAAAACATCACAATAACTTAATTTTGTTTTTGATCTGTCTTTCTCTTGCATGTTTTGCTCTCACTGACTTTGTGTTTTGGGTTTTCCTGATCTGTAGCTTTGCATGATGTTATTCCTTGGCTTGAAGCACACCAAGTTCTGATGCATCCTAAGTACAGAGATCTCACTGCACAAAAGATTGTGCACCATATTAAAAAAGGTATTCAAAACTGATACAGCTACAGTTTCTGTATAGCATGTAAAATATGAGACTGGCAGTTTTAGATCCAAATTCATGCAGGTGTTTTGTTGACATGTTACTATCCTGCCAGAACACAAATTATTTGCAATTTAGATTGTTGAAGATTTAGTATATGAAATTCTGAAAAAAAGAAAGATGAAAATTAAAAAAATAATTTCACATTTGAAAGGTGAGAAGAAAAAACTATTTTAAGCTTCAAAGAAGCAATTTTGATTAAAAACAACTTCCGGATTATTTTTTTGCTATACATTGTGCAGACCAGCTCACTTCAGCTTCAGATTACTGTAGAATAGTAAGCACATGATAGATTTCCAGTTAAAACTGCTATATTATTAAGTAGCTTTCTCTCTTCCATTTTATATTTTTTTCCAAATATTTATTTTCTGTAAACATTTATTTATTTTTTTCAATCCTTATGATGTTATTTCTTGTTTCCCACTCTTATATTTCAATATTATCTACACACTTTAAAAAAATTAATTTTTTAAGTATAAGGTCTGCCTGATAGTATAGCATTTAACTTTTATAAGAATTTCTTCCCTGTTTCTCCATAGAAGATAGAGGTGGAAGTCGTGGAGGTCGTAACAGTGGCGGTGGTAGCACTGGGGGCAGAGACTCCACTGGGGCCAAGAGTGTCAGCAGTTTTTATCAGTGGGGACCCAGTCCTCCACCTAGTGCCAAACCGTCTTCTCAAGCAGGTGCCCCTGCTGCTGCTGCTGGCGGTGGTGGCAGTGGTCGCCATGTTACTGGAGGGAATGGACTGACTGAGTATAAGCCTTCACATAAACACCTTGTAGAACTGGCAGCCGGTCAGAAGAGACAACAAGATCTGCAGCACTGTGAACACGGGAGAAAAGCAGTAATGACCTTAGATATTTTTATGATTCAGTGATGATGTAATTTTTTTAAGTGATTTGACTGTAAGTTACATGGATGACCAGCACCATATCAACAGCAGTACTGTAGCTCATGATATGTTTTCTGAAAAAATGAAAAATTCATATGGCCAATATAAACTTAATATGTCATGTCATTTTTAAGAACTTTGTATGCTTAACCCTACAATTGGTCTTTTCAGAGGTCTACACCATACCTAACCTCTCAAGATGATGCTGACAAGCCAGCACCGGATGGACCAATCAAATTCCACCCTCCGCCCTTTGATCCCAACATTGATCATAATGCTGATGGCGGAGCCAAAAGAGGTATGACAACTCTTTCTTGATGTGATTCTTATTAATGGGCAAATTGTTGAAATTCAGTAATATAATTTATATGAACCTTGAAAAGGGTCAACCTTTTTCTGTTTTTGATGATACTTTTGAATGATTGAATCAATCTCCTCAAATACTAACATGATGACACAATTTAGATAAATGTAAGGTTTTCATGATTCTCACTTTTAAAAACCATTGGCTGTAACAGTTATGAGTATTGCATCGTGGTTAAAATAAGTGTGTATATTCACAGGTTACTCCACTAAAGGAAGTCTGTCCAAGCCTACATCAGCGTCATCTGTCCAGTCTAGGAACACCAAATCTCAGTCTAGCAGTGCCTCCACTGACAGGAGACTCACTGAGGCCTCCAGCTCAGAGCAGATCAATGGAGAGGGAGCCACAAGGCAGGCTGAAAGTAAGATGTTCACCTTGGTAGAATCCACTAAGAATAAACTGCCATTGTCAGTGCTTAAATATATCCTGTAGAATAAATTATGGTTTTAAAGACAAGCACTCATTTGCAATGAACCCATGAGTTGCAGTTGCAATCTACAGTTTCCTTGCAAAATTATTTTGGTGGTGCCCATTTTTATTTTCTAAAGTGCAAAACTATTAAGTTAACAGGGGCTTACTGAAAATTTGGTTTCTATTCTAGATAAGCCTAGGCAAGGTTTCTTAAATGCAGCGGATAATGGCACTGTTGCTTTGAGGAGGGGCAGTCTCTCTGGGGAGAGCAGAGTTAACAAAAGTAAGTATAGAAGTGAAATAGGCCACTATGGGACATATTAATATTACTGAAATAAAGATGCACCTGTGAGTATCCAAGTTGGGCCAGAATTTGATCAGTGGTTGTAGACTCTCTTGATAAAGAAAAACAAAAACAAACTAATAATTAATTAATAAAAGAAGGACAATGTTCTCATAAGTTTTTGTATTTCTTGTAGCTAAAAGTAACATTTTTTTCTATATGATATGAACTTTTATTTTCAGTGGTTATTGAGACAGAGGATACATTGGCCATGTTGAAAAAAGCTAGCAGTGTTCCTGCTGTTCACAAACATGGTCACCATAAGCACAGGGCCCTGTCTGCTAACTCTGACATTTCCTCCACTATTGAGTCTATACAGGAGCTGAAGCAGTCCCTCCTGACATCTGCTCATAAAGCAAACTTAAATCCAACCACAGGGTAAGCATACACGTGCTTCAGTCGTTACATGTGTGTGCATGCATGTATGTGCATGTTTATGTGAGGTCTCTTTTACATTAAACAAAAGAAAATCAGAATTACAGTCCTTGTTTTGGTTAATTTTGAAGCATTGGTTAATTCTTATCAGTGATTATATAATTTAATTAAATTTAAAAGGTGTTTTGACTTCCTTACAGGCGTTACATAGAGCGCATTGTGCATCAGACAGACAAAGAACTGGAAACAATAGCTGCAGAACTGAGAGAAGCTGAGGTAAGACTGAATATCATGTTAATGTCCTAAATATACAATCTTATTTTGTAAATTTATAATTCCTTGTAGGTGAAACATTAACAGCAACTGTTTTGATTTTAGTTGGAGACTGGAGTACTCTAGCACTATCTAAAGTCTGTCATTACAACATCTGTGTTATAAGACAAGATACTACTTGTGTTATTTTTTTAAACCAATTTATGACTGAGATGCTAAAACACTCTTTTTAAATATGGGTACACATGTAATACATTCCAAAATTTTGTGAAAATAGGCATGAACCAAATATTATAGCTACGTATTTTGTTAATCATTGGTTTCAATTTCTTTAAGTATGAAAAGCAAATGGAGTCAGACTTTCAACAAGAAAGAAGAGAGTTCTCTGTGTCCAGTGACATGAAGTACAGACTCAGTAGAAATAAAGACTCAGTGGAAGTGACACTGAAAGGAGGAGAGTATGTTAAGGGGGAGTTTGTTCCAGTCCAGCCCATGGTGCATACAGCCCAAGGCAAACACAGTAGACAGTGGCAGTACTTTTCCAAAGATGAAGAAAGTGTGGGGGCAGTAGAAAAAGGAAAAAATGAAAACAATAACAACAGTATGCAACAGGGACGGAGTCATAATAACGGCATGGGAATGGGAGATAAGAGTAGGAGTGTAGAGATAGAGGAATACCATGTGATAGCTGATGAAGATCTGAATGGAAGGTTTGGAAGTGGTAATAATGAGGAAAGGCAGCAGAGGAGGAGGTTCAGCAGCACAGACAGCGGCCAGGTTAGGAAGATAATAATGCCAAAAGTTAATGTAATTGATTTCAGCATTGTGAAATGTGATTTTGGTCTCACACATATGAATTGGGGGCATTCCGCATGTATTTTCTCTCTTTACCATGTGTTTTTTTTTAAAGTTAGATAATATGTAAAATTGAATGTAAGGTAATTTTTTTATGTATAAAATACCATATTTATACAAAAATTAATAATTGAATATGATATACAAACTGTATATGTACAAATAAGTTTTAGGTGTCATTCAGTTAAAAAGTTTTAGGAAATGAATATGAACATGTATTTGTATTGCAGATGGTTACCAAGTGCCGATCAAGACTTTGGAATCTGTCCACAAAATCTCAGAATTGTAAGTTTACTCGTATTTTACCAATTATATCTAGTGTAGATAAATTGATTAATTAGTATTGTGGTAGAGATGACATAACTTTGGTACATCTAACACAGCCATATTGTTATGCGTACGTGTGTTGTTGGATTTGTAAGTAACATTTTCTTTTTGTCTCTTTGCAATTTCTTTTTTGTAAACTTTTTTCTATGACATTAAGCTATAGACTAAACACTGATGTGTAAATATTTCAGCCCAGCAAGCGCCCACAAAGATTTCTCTGATGATGACCAGAGGTCATGAAAGGGAGACAGTGGACGTCCCGTATGGAGGAACATTCCGTCCCATGTCCAGGTCACGCCCTGCACTGCTCAGAAATATGAAGCTCACATACAATAAAAAGAGGTAGCACATGCAAGACCTGGCATATCTGCTAGCAGAATACAACTGAAATGTAGTTTGAAGGCCATTTGCACACCTGTGACGCAATCTCAATTTTTTTTTTTTTTTTACCAAAACAAGTTCTGATAGTAAAATCCAACTTGGTTTTTGATCAAAATGCAGAAGTCTTCTATTTTAGATCTGTTTCAGCAATTAGCTATTTTTAAATTTATTTATTTACTTATTATTATTATTATTATTTTTGTAGCTGAAGAGTTGTTGAATGAGCAGATGCTATAGTTCTGTGAAGGGTTATTCACTGATCAGGGAATTGTAGTGTTGCAATTTTAAAAAAATGTGTATATATGAATAACTCAGCTTTGTAATGGAATTATTTGTAAGGCAGAATATTTCCTTTTTATTTTTTGATTTATCACAAAAAAAATTTTATATAGAAAGTACTATTAGAAAATATCATTGTTACAGTGTACCTTCAACCCTGCTTTTTATGTAAGATTGAGAAAGTTATTGTACAGTTTAATTGCTACGCACAATCTTGTAAGGTCAATATAGTTAATTTTGTTATTTTCATGTGCAACAATTTTAGAAGGTGCCTTCTAAAGTAGTGTACTTCAAAGTCTTTACATTTGTGTTCAAGACTTGTAAATGCAAGCAATACTCAAACTGTATAAAACATTTTGAGCATTTCACACATATGCATACATTTTATCTTGTATTTAATTAATTTGTGCCATTTTATAATACATTAATAGGAGGATATTTGAATTGTCATATTTGCAGAAACTTAAAAAATTTATATAATGTGATATTCATGACAGCTGGTGCCAAATATATCTAACATATTTAGCATAAAGGAAATAATTTAAATCAAGAGTCTGAATGTGACACTATTTTCAGTATGTATCATTGTCTGACATCTGCAGTATATTATGAATTTATTATTTTGTTATTGGTTTATATCTATATGTTGTAATTATAGATTGGCAAGCTGTAGTGTAGGACTAAAACTGATTCTTTTTAAAATCTTACATGTACAGCATCACCACATTTTCTTCCAGAGCAATTACTAGCATCTTCCTCGAGTATTCAGGTTAAGGTTTCATCTGTCAAATTGGGTATAGTATGAAATCATTGTTTTGATTTCTACACAAGTATCCACCTCCAAGTTAGAAGTATCAGGTCTTTTGGCATTTTTTTGTTCTAGTCTCAAGATGGCTCTGTAGGCAGCACTGTTACATACTGCTGTGTTGTTTGGCTTCCAATGTATATTTGCAGGGGTTAAGTGTTTACATTTGAAAATACTAATTTGGTGATCAAAGGGTCAAAATGTGGCAATTTTGAGATTTCACCTTAAAGAAAGAAAGCTTGCTTTTCCTGTGAATTTTTATATTGTTATGTTATTTGTAAATTGCTGTCGATACACAGCTTATTAATTTTATATTAAAGGTATACTCCATGGGTTTGAAAATCCATCAAATACTTATTTTTGTCATCCACAGCTCCTATATGGCTTTACATACACCCTAACCCTTTACATATTTTTTTCTGGGGAGTACCTGATGTTGATATTTCCATTGGACTTTGGGTAGATGGTCACTGGTTATAATGACTGGCCAGGCATTTTGAACTAAATCTTCCTTTATAAATTCAATTAAAGGTGGAATCCAAGTGCAAACAGGGATAGATACATAGTTCGTGAGTAAGAAAAAAATTGTTTTTTTTTCCCTGGGAAAATTCATTTTGGCAGGTAAGGCCACACTTTTTTATTTTTATGGATAACATCCTCTGGGTACCCCAAAATCGGTGCGAGAGGGCGAAAAAAAAAAAAAAAACAGTCCAAAAAAAAAAAATACTGCTTAGGTAAAGGAATGCTGTCAGTACACAGCTGGAAACAAATTTTACCACAGAAACACGTATCAAACTAACAATATGTCTTTATCCATGCTCTCAAAATATTAAAGCATTGTGAATACTTCGTAGAAATGTTTAAAAAAATGATGCAAAGATATGCTTAATACTACCAAATCTATTAAAGGTCATTTCGGACGATGACATTTTGTCTACTTCAACTCACACGAAGCAGCCAAACTGTCAGGTGGCCTGTCCGACCTTCAGCCCACCGAATACCTCGACGCCCTTGTCGACCCTTTTTTCGCTACAGAAAACCTGGTATTAATGTGCTACTTTGTACAGAATGTCACAGAAATTTTTCGGGCGATAATTGCTGGCCGCCGCCAGCCTTTCGCACAATTGTACAAAGGTGATATCTCCATGCCCAATATCATGGCATACCAATCCAAAACGACGGCGCCCGTTCTCTTTATGACTTTTATTGCTGTGTAATTTGAAAGTAATCCTAGAGATGAATTTGACGGCAAAGCAGCCGCATTTCCATGTGGCGATAATACGCATGCGCAGAAAGCTTATTTCCTGGCAAATTCAATGACAACGTTTGCGACAACCGACTTCGTTGGGGCTGGGGGGGGGGGGATTTTTTTTTTTTTTATTTGGAGAACGGGCGAAAATCGGTGCGCGCGCAGGATGTCATCCATAAAAATAAAAAAGTGTGGCCTAAATCCCATGGAGTTGCCCTTTAACTAAAATGGGATATGTGATTGTTCACAATAATTATAGGGAAGATGCTTATTTAATAAAATATTACAATTAAGCAATTGAATAAAGCAAAAGGTCCACTGGGAACATTTATTCATATCACTTGACTGTACATTTTCAGGCTTTATAAAAGGAAAAATGTTCCTATTACACATGCATAAAATATAAGTTAATTGTGAAATATGTATCAAAAATAATTTCCATCTTAAATAGAAGTTTCATTTATTTTTTCCTTATTCTCTAAAGTGATTCAAATGTTATTTTTGTGTTTCATTTTACTCAAGGTTTAAAGCTGTCATCTATTTCATTACACTGGTATATCAGAAAATAAATCATTTATCAAATTTAATGAGTACTTACAAGTTTCTTTCATAAATTGCATCATTTAAAAAAAATTAATAAAATTTAATATGCTTATGTTATTGATTTCCAATCAGTCATTTTCAGCATCTAATCTCTGTGTACAACATCAGCAATGTACATGTATTGAGCACATTATAACAAGGGACAAGATGAAATATATCTGGTAGTTCAGACAAGGAAAAGAATGTAACCCTTACAAATACCTTGTAAAACATGTCTTTAAATTCTGCAATACAAATCAAATGCTGATGCCATCAAAGAACTAAATTGGTAACAATTCAAAATTAACCTGCTGTCTTAGCTTTGGTTCATCATGATAACTTGTAATGGGAGTACAGTGTTATTTGTGGTTTTAATTTCATGTAGACAAGATGTGGTCAAAGCTTGCTCTGCTCCTCATCAGGAAATTCCACCACTATTTTTCCCACACTTTTTCCTGAATATAGATACTGAAACAAAAGAGAAAGCAATTCTGTTCTAAAAAAAATAAAATAAATAAAAATTTTAAAAATACCTCGAATCTGTTGAATATTTCTTATCTTTCTATATTCTATCAATTGTGAGATCTTAATTTGTTACCTATTTATTGTAAATTACCTCCTTTTGTAAATATAACACATTCAACTTACTTCCATTACTACAAATTAGTGAAAATGAAAAAGAGAACACTTGTAACTATTTTTAAAAAATAAAGATTGTTGTCTTTTCACTTTTTTTTACTCACATCAACAGCGTTTGGTACAGAGTCCAGTCCCCTAAAAGGTCCTGTTGGCCAGTGTCTACCATTGTCCACTATCGACTTCAGATTCCCTGCTGAAATCAGACTTATCATGTTCTGAAAATGTTTCTTGAAATGCTGGTAGTGGTGGAACAGGAAAAATCCTCGCACACTGGCTGATTTGGGCAGGATCTAAATGAAGAAGTATAAGACTTTGTTTCACAGCAAACTGTTCACTATTGTCTTCTGACAAATATAACTAGTTAATGGTCTCAACAGAAGCATTAAAAATCAAAACTTTGTTCAACTTTTCTTAGTTATAGAGTTTGCTAGGACAAAACTCACCCTTTGTGGCAGAGTGGATAAATTTGTGGGGATAAAACCAAGATCTGTCTCATAACCAGATATGAAACCAATAACAATGAGACGTCCATGGAGAGCAAGCCTACAAAAATTATTCAATAAGTAAGCAACAAAATTATCAAATATGTTAATGAGAATGTTACTTAAACTTGACACTAAAACATTTTTACATAAAATTGCAACAAATTTATACACAGGCAAGGATTTGCAAGTGTTTTCGTTTTACAGAATGTTATTATAACCTACCTTCCTAATGCAATGTTAAACATTTCTCCTCCTACAGATTCATAAACAACATCTATTCCCCTCTGAAAATAAATATTACAACAATATTTTCTCGTTTTCTGCTTACATAATGCATTTTCCCCAATTTTTTGAAAATTTATTCATTTCTGTTATTTTGCTGTTCTTGTATTATGCCACGCAATTATGCACATCTCTGGGCCAAATCCAACAGTGAACAATGCAAAGTAAAAAAAAAAAAAAACGCTGATTTATTTTTTTTAAATAAAATACTTACTGGATATTCTTTTTTTAGCACCTCATTCAGGTTTTCTTTCTTGTAATTGACTGGCCTGTCACAACCAATACTCTACAAAATAATTAAATAAATAATAAATTAAATTGCATTTGATACCAGTCCACAACAATATTGACTAAAAAGAAAGAAATAAAAGACAGAAATAAAATACTGATAATGCTATAAGTTTAATGTTCTTTTAGATTTATTCCAATTAAATTAATGTATGACAAAACACCTTAAGAAATTCCACTTTGTCATCTGTAGAACATGTTCCAATAACATGGCATCCAGCATTTTTGGCAAGCTGAACCTAAAGGAAAAGGTTAACGAATTAGTTGAGATAAATATAATCATAATAACCTTACATATTCAAACTTTTCTTTAAGGCAAGCAAAAAAATAGCAAAACAGATTTTTCTTTTTTCCTTAAAAAATGTTTGATTTGTTATAAGTATATTAAAAAATAAATAATAAATAAGTTACATACAGCAAACTGTCCTGTGCCCCCAGCAGCAGCTGAAATATATTTAGGTTTATCAGCATAATCAATACCATCAGCATAATGAAGCTTAAAATATATAAAATACTTGTACAGAAACATTCCATAGAATTTTCAATACACTCATTTATATATCACTTAGATTCAGGAGAGTTAATTACAGGTTCAACTGCCCTTATTTCTTTCTAACAAACTTTTTAACAGAGGAGAAAAAATCTCTAGAATGGCAAAAGTTTATATAAAGGCAGACAAAAGAGACATAAATATCTGGAGTCTGTTACTAGACTTACCTGTCACTAAAACCGTCTCCCCCGACTTTATTTCTCCAACCTTATCCAGGCTGACAGCAGCAGTCAACCCACTAACTAGACATGGCACATACTCAGCTTTTGCTTCTGGCAGTGGGAAGACAGTTTTGGCTGATAGGACCTTTCATTCAATAATTAAGTCACAATCAGATATTCAAAATCTATAACAATATTTCATTCGTAAGTTTCATCAAGATCCATCATCCATCAATATTTATAGAATAACTATTTGTCAAATCTATTCAAATATTCAAAAATAAAACACAATACAGATTGCAATCTGGTCAACTTCTGTGTCATAAAATGGTTAATCTTGTCACTGGGTTTTCATTCAACATCAAACACACACCAACCACATAATCAGCAAATGATCCATATTTCATGTAGCCTACAGGCTGCCCAAGACTGAAACCTTTGCAGGCATCTCCCATATCAACAACTACTCCAACACCCTGCAAGGATGAAATGAACATGCAAAAATATTTTTGGCAAATCAAAGTTTGCGTAACAATCTATTTAAATCAGTTTTATATCACTGGTACAATGACTTCACATCTTTAAATTACATAAAAGTAGAGAATATATGTTATATATCAAAGGGCTTTTTATTTTACTTTAAAATTACTTGTGAACATATTAAAATCATAAAGTCATATTTTTCTGCAAATTATGTACGTTGTTGTAAAATCTAAAAGTCCCATAAACAAGTTCCTGTAAAAATGTTTAAAAAAAGATCAATCAACTAAAAACAGTGACCTAGCTACTACCAGTAGCACTGTACGTAACAGCTAGATTACGTTACCTCAAATCCAGCATCAAATGGTGGCTTTTTCTTGGGATCATATTTACCAGCAGTGTAGTTTATGTCCGATGCATTGATTCCAACAAACCTGAAATTATTGTGAATGCAGTAAATGTAGTATATCTTTTTTTTTTTAATTATTGTTTAATTTTTTTTATATAATTTTTTTTATTGATTCAGAAACCTCTGCTGTAAACATTAATTAGGTGAAGTCTAGAGATATATTTGCCAGTCATTGTGGTACATGTGACTTCATGCACTTATTGTCTTCTTGTATCTAGACGTATAGTGTCTTAATTCACACTGAACCAACAATATATTAAGTGACTGTTTACATTAGCCAGCACCAGCAGTACCTTGTTTTGACCAGCAAGTCAGTAGGCCCTAACTGTGGTATCTGGACGGAGACCGTCTTTACAGCATCTCGAAACTTGTTTGTAATGTTGTGCACCACCAGTTTTCTCAAATGGCTTGGAATGCGAGCTGTTGCCATTGTATACAATCAGCCGCACTACTACAGGGCAGTGTCAGACTGAAGTTCTAAGGTCATTTTATCAAACAAGACGATCCTCTCTCAAGGTTAGGTAAACCCAAGAAAAGTAACCAAAATAACATTCATAAAAGTAGAAATTAAACATTTTCTAAAAAAAATGAATATTTTGAGAGATTATCAATTCATCTGCCCGATGAATATTTACAATTTGAATAACAAAGTGAGTCTTGTCTTGGTAAAGGTCGACTTCCCTGCCGGCGTTCGTCTCAAAGCCAGACGTTGTTTTGACTGCTGAGTTAGTTAATTAATATAACGATTTCGTGGCTAAAATGACGGTGCAGTTTGGCAGCATGGCTGCTTTTTGGTTTATTTCCATTCTGGCCGTTACTTATACCGTCATTCTGACTTCACAATTCGTCGCCTTCCTGTCTACGCAAAGGGGAATTCTCCTCACCGAAGGTACACGCACCTGCTTTTCTAAATTCTATCACAAGTCTACCAGCGCTGGAACACGATATAGCACGCTAAATAGGTGCGCTAGGTAAAAAAGGCCACGACAGGGTAAAATTGATGGTTGGTGAATTAGCAGGTTAATACATGCTCGGCTGTCACCCAGCAACTGAGCAAGAAGTTCAACGTGTCAGCACCCTTATCATATTAATGCTTTCTGGGAAATAATGTGGTGACAGGAACTTTGAATGCCTGTAGGAGCTAGTGTCAAAGCATAGATCTTTGTGCTATGCTGACATCTTGATCGGTCAATTAATATGAAAACAGCATTAACTAAATGGAATTTCGGGAAATATATACAAGTACATTTGTAGTTAGTGTTGCCCTCAGCTTTCAAGGAATAATTATATGAGTAACATTTTATTTTTATCTTTGATTATCGGTCATTGACACTAAAGAGTCCCAAGTCCTCAGCTGTCCCTGATAATATGGGACATTTTATTTTTCTCTTTGTTCGTCATGGACTCTAGAGAGACCAACACTTTGAATACATAAAATATATGAGTGACATACACACAGATTTTGTTCACTAGCTCTATATCAAAAGAAAAGTTGTGACCATGCAAGATTGTTTCCTTAGTTACTGTAACAGACCCACCACGTGCTGTACATGTATGGACAGTTCTTTTTTTTTATCTACATCCATGATTTTCATAAAATGAATGACTGTTAGAACATAAGGGTGTCTCTCACACCAGGTTTGTTAACCAGCAAGATAATCAGGTGTAAAGTACATGTTACAGAATTTTTGTATGTTTATACTTCAGAGGAAGAGCCAATCTTCTTTCCCCTTCTTGTGGACAACCTGTTGATGAACCTATTCTTCTGGCAGCACACACTACTGGCACAGTCGTGGTGGAAGGGATTGTTGCATGGCTGGGGTCTGGCTGTGATAGACAGGACCATCTATAATGTGCTGACCGCAGTTACTCTACAGGTGAAATACACACGAATATGATAGGTTGACAAAATGATTACCTGTTGACCCCATTGGTGGTATTTTTTAAATGTCAACTTTAGAATGTTAATTGTTTGCCTACAGTATGGTATAATCACTTCCACCCCCTTCCACCACCAATAACTTTGCTAAATTGAACAGTGTTTATGTAAATATCTTTTTTACCTATAACGTTTCAGTCTCTGTTAAAGAAATGGCAATGTTAAGATGAAAAAAAAAACTTGTGATGATAAGGAAAGGAAAAACACAACGAGGTTCTTTATTAAAATTGATGGTTCCTGTAAGACGTTTTCACTGGTTATCCCATCCCCCTTATTCTGGCAGCATAGAAATAGAGCCTGAAGTTTGATATTTTGATTGCATGTTGTCAGTCTCTAGAGGTGGAATTTAAAGGCAATATGGAGTGCATCCATGTAGGTCTTTTTGCAACGCAGCCTGGAAGATAAACATGTTCGTCCAAGATTGCGTGCATTTAGTCCAATTTTTCTTAGTTACTGGCTTGATGTTTCCTGTATATCTGGCAAAGTGAATATATCCTGTACTATACAGTGCAAGATATAATGTGCCAGATTAAGGAAAAAAAACAAAGTCAAAAATAGAGGCAGGAAGTTTTTATCTCTGATATTTCCGTTACGGGTACATGTACAGTAAAATACAGAGGAGTTTTATTACAAAATAACAGATTCAAGGTAAAATTGGCCAGGAGATATAATTTGGATTTCTTTTTACTTCAGGTCCTAATGCTCCTCTGGCAGAGCCCTAACTACGCCCTGTGGTACATAGATACGTCAGAAAGCCCCACACTCTGGCTTTTTTTCTTCCTGATTCATTTAACTGCATGGGCTCTCCTGATTGGTGCAACACTGACCATGGACTTTCTGGAATTAATTGGTGTCAGACAGGTAAGGGCTCTTTCTGTGAGGAAGTATATAATAACTCACCTGCCTGTACAACCTACCTATTTGAAGATCTGCAATCAATTATGTTCTTATGACAAAAAATGTTAATTGTTTAAGATAGACTCCTCTTGTGACATAACTTGAAACTGATTTTCACATTAAAAAAATTTAGGAATTTTCTAAAAACGATATAAAACAATATGAAATTTAAAGCATTTTGTCCTTAATATTTTTTGATAAGGTGAGGAGATACCACAAAAATCAAAAGTAAAATTAAAAAATATAAAAATATTTGACTGTTGCTCACAACCTGCAATATGAAAATAACCTACTGTTGGTTACACCCACCCACCTGTACTAGTAAAGTGCATTGTAAATAGGCTCATAACTACTGTAAAGCTTGTGATTAACACAACAAGACCTATTAGTATGCACTTAGTATACCTTGGTGTGTTCCCCTTTGATGACTGGGGCTCGGTGTACATAAGCAAATGATACTCTGAGGCATTTTAACTGTTTAGTCATGAAGACATTTATTTACAAAAAAACATACAAGATTGTTGTAGATACAATGAGGTGCTGGTCCTGCCAGATGACTGTATATATATTACTCACTTACTACAATGAGAGTGGCAAAAGAGACCAGCTGTCCCTTGGGATTAGACAATTGTGGCGTTTATGACTCTCCATATGTGCATGTGGATGTACAGTACTTGTATGTTTACTTGTTATTATTTAAAAACAATACATTAAAGAGCTCATATATGCTTTATTCTGTGCAATCTTACAGGGATTGCTGGTTACTCAACATATCAACAAGATAGGGTTGTATAACAGATGTCTTAAGAAAAAAAAACAATAATTATGTTATAGACTTGTGAAGATTCTTTTGTCTATAGCTATTTATATTAGTTTGATCTTACCATCCAATATTTCATCTGCTCCACACCGGAAAGTTCTTGAAGCGATTAACATCCGCTTACATGGGGCCAAGTTGAATCGGAATGATGGGACTGAGCTACCCAACCTCTACCTACCACTCCTAAGGGAGGGGCAGGAAAGGGGGGGGGGGGGGGATCNTCATACCTGTCACAACCTCATTCCCTGATGAAATCTGACTGCAAGCAGATGAAATATTGGATGGTAAGATCAAACTAATATAAATAGCTATAGACAAAAGAATCTTCACAAGTCTATTACAATAACATAGCTAATGAAACTGTTCTACAATAATTATGTTAGTTTTGCCTACATTTTGTAAACCTGTACTAGAAACTTAAATCAATTTATTGGAAGTTCATCATTATATCTACTTTTATACCAAAGGTAAACAAGGCACTTTGGTTACAATAATTTCATGTGCATGTACAAAAAATGTCTTTACTGCTTTGGGCAAGCCCATATAAAGATGACGTTTACTTACCCTAACATAGCCTAACATAGCCTAAGATTTATGCCAGTCAGGCAAAGGTCTTTAAACTCTGGCCTGCAAAACCCATACTTATTCTTGTTTTACTATTTGCCTGCTTGCTCACACCAGATTAAATCACCTTTTGACCAAAGGTGACATTTTTTTTCAAGTTGATAATACACTGTTTTCCTTTCTAGTAGCCCTTGTAACGAAGCCCAGGATTCATGGGTTTTTGTATGTAGATCAACTACATCATTTGCTATGAAAAAGCTAATGACAATAAAACAATAAGCAAACCCCTGGATTCACATCTTATTGTATGTAGATGATTTGCCAGGATATATATTGGCTGGGCTAGCTACCTTAAGGCAGACTGAGGTAGTTCATTATGCATTAAAAAGTTTTTAAAGAGCATTGTTATATTGATTAAAGTCAAGTTGACACTGTATAGGTCATTGTGGTCACAGCTCTGGGCTTGTGTTGAAATAAATAAATCGGATATTACCAGGGGGTTAGCTAGGCACTATTGATTTTGATGAAGAATGTAACAATTCTTTTATTTATGTTTTAAAGTCCATCTGTCATTGATATGAACAAAATTACTTGATTTGGCTGAGGTAAGGTACATCTTTTTGGCTAAAGAAAATTTTACTGGAGTGAGTCTTGGCATGATTGTCAATTTCTCATAGCGTCATAACTGCCACCTGCAAGAAACTTAGCTTTGGGCAAAGAAGTGGATGGAGTGCAGCCAAGGTTTTTAGACTGTGGACACTGCAGTCAACATCCAGAACACGGAAGTGTTTACAGTCTTACAGTGCTGTTAATAATGACCAGAAAAGATAATGCTAGTGTAATTACTTGAATGAATGAGTACTACATAGCTAAATTTTTGAAATGTTAGTGAGTCTAGATGAGAAGGAGATGCATCTAACCATACTTAGATGAAATCCGTTTCCTAAACCCTTCTTCCCTACCACTGATAAGCTTTCAAGAAAGAATTTGTACCCCTCGCCAATATATTCCATCTACATTTCTTGGTAAGTGTTATTCATTGGCTACTTAACAAGTTGCGTACAAAGTAATTAATGTGTTTTTTTCTTTTTTGGATAATGCAACTTTTTTGTGAAGAGGGTAAGGGTAACAAAATTTAAAGTATTAATTAGTAGTTAATATTTAAGTTCATTGAATGAGGAATGATGATTTGTTGAGGCAAACAATTTGTTCATAAAATTTGGGACTAAAACTGTTTTCCTAAACTTGAAATAAAACCTGCTGTACATTATACTTTCTGCTTTGTATGGTTAGAGTTTTGAGACATCCAATTTTTTTCAACATTGAATTGTCTTCACTTTAGAAACACGGCCTACATGTATCTTTGGATATCTACAAAATCTAACAAGGTGCAGCCCAAAAGATGAACTGGCTAGTAGTAGTACTTAAGGAGATACCAACTTGAGACAAAATGGCTTTTTAGGTTCTCTCACATAAGTCAAGGCAGACCAGGGTAACTTGGATACAGTGTCCGCAAAGTGTCAAGACCTGCAGAGTCACCACTGGTCAGTGCTTGAGCCACAGGTAGCCGGATGTCAGGCTNCAAATGATACTCTGAGGCATTTTAACTGTTTAGTCATGAAGACATTTATTTACAAAAAACATACAAGATTGTTGTAGATATAATGAGGTGCTGGTCCTGCCAGATGACTGTATATATATTACTCACTTACTACAATGAGAGTGGCAAAAGAGACCAGCTGTCCCTTGGGATTAGACAATTGTGGCGTTTATGACTCTCCATATGTGTATGTGGATGTACTTGTATATGTTTACTTGTTATTATTTGAAAAACAATACATTAAAGAGCTCATATATGCTTTATTCTGTGCAATCTTACAGGGATTGCTGGTTACTCAATATATTAACAAGATGGGGTTGCATAACAGATGTCTTAAGAAAAAAAAACAATAATTATGTTAGTTTTCCCTACATTTTGTAAACCTGTACTAGAAACTTATGTCAATTTATTGGAGGTTCATCATCATATCTACTTTAATACCAAAGGTAAACAAGGCACTTTGGTTACTATAATTTCAGATAATGTGCATGTACAAAAAATGTCTTTACTGCTTTGGGCAAGCCCATATAAAGATGACGTTTACTTACCCTAACATAGCCTAACATAGCCTAAGATTTATGCCAGTCAGGCAAAGGTCTTTAAACTCTGGCCTGCAAAACCCATACTTATTCTTGTTTTACTATTTGCCTGCTTGCTCACACCAGATTAAATCACCTTTTGACCAAAGGTGACATTTTTTTTTCAAGTTGATAATACACTGTTTTCCTTTCTAGTAGCCCTTGTAATGAAGCCCAGGTTTCATGGGTTTTTGTATGTAGGTCAACTACATCATTTGCTATGAAAAAGCTAATGACAATAAAACAATAAGCAAACCCCTGGATTCACATCTTATTGTATGTAGATGATTTGCCAGGATATATATTGGCTGGGCTAGCTACCTTAAGGCAGACTGAGGTAGTTCATTATGCATTAAAAAGTTTTTAAAGAGCATTGTTATATTGATTAAAGTCAAGTTGACACTGTATATAGGTCATTGTGGTCACAGCTCTGGGCTTGTGTTGAAATAAATAAATGGGATATTACCAGGGGGTTAGCTAGGCACTATTGATTTTGATGAAGAATGTAACAATTCTTTTATTTATGTTTTAAAGTCCATCTGTCATTGATATGAACAAAATTATTTGATTTGGCTGAGGTAAGGTACATCTTTTTGGCTAAAGAAAATTTTACTGGAGTGAGTCTTGGCATGATTGTCAATTTCTCATAGCGTCATAACTGCCACCTGCAAGAAACTTAGCTTTGGGCAAAGAAGTGGATGGAGTGCAGCCAAGGTTTTTAGACTGTGGACACTGCAGTCAACATCCAGAACACGGAAGTGTTTACAGTCTTATACAGTGCTGTTCTTAATGACCAGAAAAGATAATGCTAGTGTAATTACTTGAATGAATGAGTACTACATAGCTAAATTTTTGAAATGTTAGTGAGTCTAGATGAGAAGGAGATGCATCTAACCATACTTAGATGAAATCCGTTTCCTAAACCCTTCTTCCCTAGCACTGATAAGCTTTCAAGAAAGAATTTATACCCCTCGCCAATACATTCCATGTACATTTCTTGGTAAGTGTTATTCATTGGCTACTTAACAAGTTGCGTACAAAGTAATTAATGTGTTTTTTTCTTTTTTGGATAATGCAACTTTTTTGTGAAGAGGGTAAGGGTAACAAAATTTAAATAATTTGGGACTAAAACTGTTTTCCTAAACTTGAAATAAAACCTGCTGTACATTATACTTTCTGCTTTGTATGGTTAGAGTTTTGAGACATCCAATTTTTTTCAACATTGAATTGTCTTCACTTTAGAAACGCAGCCTACATGTATCTTTGGATATCTACAAAATCTAACAAGGTGCAGCCCAAAAGATGAACTGGCTAGTAGTAGTACTTAAGGAGATACCAACTTGAGACAAAATGGCTTTTTAGGTTCTCTCACATAAGTCAAGGCAGACCAGGGTAACTTGGATACAGTGTCCGCAAAGTGTCAAGACCTGCAGAGTCACCACTGGTCAGTGCTTGAGCCACAGGTAGCCGGATGTCAGGCTTTTGTCCTATGGAGGCCGTGTATGTTAGACTTTCATATGCACAGTGGTTGTTGATGTAGAAGTACTTCAGCTCAGCTTTACCAGGCTCAGTTTTGCTTTCCACCCAGAGCAAGTGTAGGCGCTGTTTCTGTCGACATGTTCCTCCTTCGGGGCAGCTGTGAAATAAGATGAAAAAAGCCACAAGATTAGTCATATTAGTCACAATGGGAATTGTATCTCTTTTGACAGTAGTTTTAATGGTCCTAGTTATTACCATGGCTGCCAGCTGTTGGTGACAGTATGTTGGTAATCAAATCCATGAAAAGACTTAAATGAACAGCATTGTTCTTTTGTCTTATGGTCATGGGTGTCATCTAAAGTGCTCATAGCTGCTGGTTTTTTGTGTCAGTTCCATATTGTTAATTTTGATAGCTTTCTATAGGACTTAACCTTTTGCCATTGAAAGATAAATGTATCAAGTTGGTTTATAATAACAGTAACAAACAAATAAGAAGTTCAAATATTTACTAATTTTGTTTCTGAATGATGACTAGAGGTCTTGTATTTATTTAAATTTCTTTAAGAAAAATTTGTTAGAATGGTATCTGACAAATTTTTACCTGTCACAAAGTGAAAATTCCGTACCACTGCTCTGCAGATATTTTACCTTGTCATGATTTTGATATTTTCTAAAGTAATGATTTATGCTCCTGAGTCTTAATGATTACATGTTATCAAGCAGAGTTTATAAAGTCTAAGTAGCTGTATCAAAATTAACTGTATATAGTGTATATTAGTGTTTGGCTTGGAATAAATACAAACATTCCAGCCAGAATAATTATGGAGAGTTTTTCAGAGAGTAAAAAGGAACTTACGGTGGTTGCGGATTCTCTGCCCCACAGTCTCCTCTGGCATAGGCTTGAAAGGTCTGTGCTCCCTTGAGAAAGGTGTATGGGCCCTCTCCCTTCCAATCCTTCATACTTTCAGGTGCAGAGCCAAACCACAGATTTCTTAAAGAAATAAAAAATATATATATCACATATGCAAATGCCAACCATCAAATGGCACATATCCAAAACTTTTCTCTCTCTTGAGCTTCTTGATGTGAATAAAGATTTCGCAACATTACAAAAATGTTCACCAAACTTTTGGTCAAAACTAAATTGTGTTATCTGATGTTGATGTTTCATAAGTTAAGAAGTTTTAACTTATTATTTGGACAATGCCTGTCATGGGGTTGTCAGAGGATGATCTGTGTCACAAGTTTTACATATCAGCCTATTTTAGCTTAATTCACATAGTATGGCACAGAATATTGGCAACCTTTTGAATAACCCTTAGACAGCCTGATATCTTTCTTTCATAAATTACTATTTATATGAAATGTGCCAACTTACGTTCTACAACAAATGTCTGAGTCCAATGTTCTTTTCTTCCTGTTACTTTGAATCAGGTTAGCTTTATTCAACACATTATTCATAGCCCTGATTTCTTTAGGGGTGAAAAACTGTCCAGGAAATTCGCCTTGGAGAATGGTATCTTCCTTTATACTTGACATGTTGCTCTGGGATTTTGTAGCAAGGGTTTTTTCAAGCTCAGGCACCACAATTTTAGGAAGTCCATACATGCTCTCTGGTTTAGACTTTTGGAGAGATTTAAAGCCCAGGGTTACTTTGTGTTTCCTCTCTGTAACTGGCAGAACTGCTCCATTTGATGTAATAATGGTAATGGCAGCAATGAAATGATACTGAAATCAGAAAATGTGAATATTTCTGAGATTTAAAAGAGGGTTTTCTTTTACAGTTTTTGACATCATAATGTGAAAAAAGTCTTCAATTGATATACCTGTATTAAGAAACACAGTTATTCTGAATGTTGCAGGACTGAATATTTTGAGAAAAAATAGGTTTGAAAAAATATTTACAGCTAGAGCAAATCGTGTCTAATGATTTTTGAAAAATTGCATTTGTATATTCAATACTTTTTGGTTACTTTGCAGCAAAAGGAGAATTACTTTGACATAGTTTTAGTCTTGTAACTTGTTTGTTCGTTCATATTTTATATGATAAAAAATTACAATTGAAGGGGAAAATCCATTTATAAAACCAATAAATCATATTTACTATGAAGGGTGGACAAATTATGGTAAAAATTTACTAACTTGTACTTGATATAAATTATGTGTGACTACATACAATTTAGTTAATCAAAGCAATAAAGCAAAACCATTGCCCTACTATAAATATCCCCTTTGATTAAAAATGTACAGTACCTGGTCCCATTTTCCTCAGCTGTTACACTTAATTTCAGTTGTTAAATTTAATTATAAAGTCATTAATGGCCTGTACTGGCCTATATAATTACCTGCAATAAATCCATCTTCATTGAGATTTGTCTGCAACTTCTGTGAATCTCAACAGTGAATGGTGTTTAAAGAACAAACCAGCAATCCCCTTCTTATTTAAATAGCCACATGTTGATGGGTTAATCATACTGTTTATGATCTGAACTCTGATTGGCCTGTTGGAGGGTATGACACATGTTGAGCCGGCTGGAAGAGGCTGAGCATGTTCATCTGCCAAATGAATTTTGTGTGAGGGGTTCACCACTTCCAAAAATGATTGACAGAATGTTCAGCCACAATTTAGGAAATGAATTTTGAATTTTACTATGATTATTTTTTATCTGAATTTGACTGGATAGAATGTGTCATTTAATATAGCTATATGTGAAAAAATCCTAGGCAGATACTAATTCTCTTTTACTTGGGTTCTCAAAGCATTTTTAGAATCTGATGTAAAACATGTATATATGATAAGTGGGGATTTTTATGTGAAAACAAGGCAGACATGGCTTTTCCAAATGTACTTCATTTACTGCTACCGGAAGCTGGAGTTACTCCAGCACAATTTTTGTCAAAGTCAAATAACTAAAAGTTGAAATCGTATTCAGGTATTATCTTTTTAAATGGAACATATGCTCCCTGATAAGCATGTAGCCAAAGTTTTATGGATGTCACTATCACATCCACAGACAAGCAAAAAATATTGAGCCATTGAATACTTTATTGTAATTTTAACAATGGTACTACTGCAACATGATTTACATGTAGCTGCATGTTCTACCTGACTTTTTTCAAATTCTTTCCTAACAAAAAAACTGATAGTGCAACAAAAGAAAACACCACTCTTAATTAAAAGTATTTCATGTTTATAAAAAAAAGATACCATTGGTCAAGGAGTCAGTGTAGTGGACAGAGGTTAAGAATGATGTCAGTTGAAAGGGCAAGTCACCCGCAGCCATAATGTCGTGACGGTTTTCCCCTATCTGACTCAGCTAGGTTAACTGTGTGGAGCAGTGCTAGCCCCAGGTGGGCACATGGCAGCTCATTGGCTGCCTTTTTACTGGTATATGCAGATATATGAAATGTTTTCTGTAATGTGATTGGTTTTTGCAGATCTATCAGTGTGAAATACAGAAAATTAATTTTTATTTTCTTATACCAAAATAAAATTCTGGTAGTTTTTTTTTTAAAGTATATTGCCATTATTATTATTTTTTTCTTATTTTTATTTTATTACTTATGACAGTTTGTGTGCAGAAGCAGGTTTACATTTAATTGAAATACACTGAGCCATACTGGAAATGCCTACCATAAATTGTGTCTTAATCATCAGTAAATATCTAAGTTATTTCTGGTGCAAAACTTTTGTTCAGGCACAATTATAATTTTTCACTTGGAAGTCATTATTTCTCATTATTTTGCAACCTTTTTCCATTGTCATTTTCCTTTGTAGATTAAGATAGTTTGTGGAAATAATTTGAGTCAGTGTGGTCAGATTTTATCTTTCCCATATTAGGGCAGAAAAGTAGTATTTCATAGCAGTTAAAGATTGTAATAAGATATGTTAATAAATACACAGTGATCAGTTAAAATATTTACTGATGTTATTCACAGGATGTGACATTTGCATACAATTTTATTCTCTTGAGATGCTATAATTAGTGTAGTACTGTGGATGCCTCCCATCTATGATCTATCACAACTTGCATTCTGTGAGAGAGGAAATGTCTGTGAAATGAGAATATGAAATGCAATTAAGATGAATGTGAGTGTAAGAGTTTGCTTTTACTTATATAGTCCTTCCCTCAGAAATTGAGGGGCTATAAGTCAAAAATTGTAGGTTGTCCTTGGAAGGTTGGGGACATGTACGAAAGAGAATAAAGTAGATCAGTGGAGCAATCAAGTAAACATGTTTTAATCAAAATATGAATATGAAGGTTAATAAGTACACGTGCTCAAGAGATTTAACTTGGTCTGTCCTTAAACATTGTCTTATCACATACACCTGCAATCCAAGCAACCCATCTCTTTGTACCATGTTGCTGAAATAACCTTTAACAAATATATTAAATCGTCAGTAATGTTAATACAGGCTTCTTGCCCTCTACTCCCCACCTGCCTCCCTTTTTCATAAAAAATCTCAAAATAAGCAAAAAAAAAAAAAGGGTGTTCCAGATTAAAAAGACATACTGCTGGCAATTAAGTTTGGTTATAACCATTTTCCTTTATTTGATTTCTAATTTGTATGCATGCATGCGTCTGAATGTTTTGATGTATTAGTGGACTTGATTTAATTGCGCCAGCCTCTGGTCACTTCCACCTTTTCATACATTTTCCAGGTAAATAGGTAATGCCAAATGTATTAGTTGTGCATAATCATCACTAACCCTTAGGGACCATTCCAATAACCCTATCGTACTAGCAGGATCAAAATGTCTCTGAGGGGATTCTCGCTAAATTGGATTCAGTTTAAGCATGCAAGAAAGTTAATTTCCCCCTTGCAGCTTCAGTGGCCGTGACAGAAATTTAAGCCGCTTAAGATGAATTCAATTTAGTGAGAATACCCTCGGAGTGGGATCGATCCTGCTAGTACCATAGGTTAATAAGAACCCAGTCTTTGGTTTCCTTTAATGCAAAATGAAGAACCTGGACATGGATACTCTCAAGAGGTTATGTAGTGTAGATAAAGTATTCAGTTGCCTATGATTTAAAGGGAAAATATGAATGGATGATGTCAAAAGTGGTTTCTTTTTAAAATTAGAATTGATTTAAAGGTTAATTAAATTCAGCACAGTAAGTGCTTGGTACCTAGTCTTGGACATAATAACGAATTTGTTATTATGTCCAAGCTAGTGCATTTTGATCAACTATGGGTTGTCCCTGTTTTAAGCAAAACCTTAACTTTCTTTCAAAAGTTGCAATTATAGTAAGCATTGATGGACTGGTGTGCAATAAAATCAATAGTGCTGATCATCAGATTAAGCATTTTGGATCTGCTATATACATAGTTGAGGAAATAATTTCTGTGTAAATAGTTTAGATCTAACCTTTGCTTTTTTATCTTCACCTTTTTTTTTAATTTTAAGGTAACTTTTTTGAAAGTGGACAGTTTTGTAGTGTTAAAAACCTTGCTGTTATTACTAAGTACCAACTCCAACTTCCAGGACAATTATTTGATGTTCTTCATTGTAATTATAGTTATGATTTTTATAATTTTAATATATATTTAAAATATATTGTAATACATTGTTAGTCACAGTGTCTTAAGAGATTTCAATTTTTAAATTAGAAAGATATATAACTTTCAGGTGCATCATATTGAAAAGATTTTTTCACCCTTTTTGCTTTGAGTAGTGTGCTTTCACCATGAAAACCTTAATGAATAAATTTGCTCTAACATTTGAAAAGTTACCCAGTGTTCCAGTGGATAACGTAAAGAAAAAACTAATACTATTTTCTGTTAAGCTGTTCTCTGTCCCTTGTGCCTTGAAGGCTTCCTGCATAGAAACTAGAGTTAGATGGTGAAAATAGAAACATGGAACACTTAAAACCTTTAGAAACAAAGATGATCACATGCCAGAGTTCATGTGACTGTATATTTATTTAAGTTCAGAAAAGACATAATGTTGCTTTTATGATGTGGCCTTCAAACATTTGCCTGAACTGCTGTTATGCTAGTTTACTGGTATGTTTAAAGCCATCTTTTTGACTGCCTCAAGCTTTGTGTCACCGCAAGAAGCTAAGCAATGTCAATTCGTAGAAGTTACATAAACGTATCACATTCCTGCAGGTGTGCGATCACCTAGCATTGCTGCCCTAGGACATGTCAGTCAGTTAAACAAAAATGGTCTTAGATGTTGCAGGTGGTTAAGAAAATACTTGGAAAAGATTGCTGAATAGTTACAGAATTCCTGCCAAAAAAGTGAAGTTGACTTCAAGTTTGCAAGATAAGGGCGGGTTGTTTTTCCTATGTTCAGTTGAATGTTTGTCACAAAACATTCTTGTTGTATTAGTAAAGGCATTGTCCTGCAGTCTGCCAAGACTTACAGAGTAGGATTATATTTTCTTGCTGTCAATAAATTAATGATTTATATATGGCATCTTTATTTTTCTTTTGTTTAATTAAATAACTTTTTTCTTGCATTAGTTGTTCTATATATCTAATGAATAAAGTTTACTAGCATATGTCATTTTATGAGCTTATCCAGATCTTTAAATTTTTTAGAGTTGTCACTCAAATTCTTCAAAATTATCAGATTAAAAAAACAAATACACTTTTGCATGAAAATTTTTAAAAAACCTTTTTACCCTGTCTTTTTAGGTTTATTACTACAGTGTTGGAACTGGTCCTCCAGAGGAACACACATCACGCAGCATGCAAAGACTGTACAAGCACATGCGTCATCCTGGAATCTCGTGTTTTCTTGTGATACTGTGGCTTCATCCTGTTATGTCGTACAGTAGATTCATCTTGGCAGTAACTTTCAGCCTGTACCTCTTTCTTCGTTTCAATGTCAAGGAGGAAGATTACTTTGAAGCAGTAGAAACTGTGGATACCTGGCACGAAGAAAGGCGCTCTCAAAGACAGCTGCGAATGTCGCGGGTTCATGCAGAGTGATAAAATATGTCATCTTTAATGCTCCTTGTTAATGTTAAGTATTTTATCAGTGTTCTTGATTGGGCCTCAATCAGAAATGATTAAATGTGAGAAAACATGCAAAGACTTGTGATATACATGTAGCTTTTCCCTGATTATGGCAATTTTTTTAATTAGTATTTTTTAAAACGTTTTATTGGAATAAGACTAATGGGGCAAAGTAGAAAAAATTACTTGCATAGTCCTAGATTGGTGAACTTGGGTATTTGTTATTAGTCGAAAACAAATGGGTCTATATTTAGTGTATATCAAAATTATATATATATATATATATATAGAGAGAGAGAGAGAGAGAGAGAGAGAGAGAGAGTTATGGTATAAAGATGCATAATATTTTTATTAAATGCGTAACATTTCTATTGCCTTTATTGTTGCTTTGCTTAGGAAATTGCCCTTTTTCTTTGTTTGCTTTATTGGACTTCAGCATTGTATAATAATGTGTCCTTTTTGTCAAGAGAATAGAAACTGATGTAGAAGATATCTGGTTTATATATTTATGCATTATATATATTTGACTACATTATATATTTTTACTACATAATATATACATTTATTCATATTTTGTCCATTTCATAATATTACCACATGAGTTAAAGTTTGAAAATAATCTTGTTTTTTGGAAAATTTCATCCAAGACTTTTTAGTCATAAAGCCTTTTAATGTTTGCAGTTTAAACATTAACCAAATCGGCAGGACCTGTGGATATGATAGACGGTGATTGGAAGGCTTCCAGTTCCATAGTCTTATACAGTACAATGGAATTTAATGTTCTAGTGTTGTCTTATTTTGATATAAATATTATATAATAAATGGTTATAATACACTACAGTAAGCTTATTTGCAGAGTTAGGAAACTGCTGTTAGCTGTTGTAAGAAAACTTTTAGTGGTTTTTACTTTATACTATAAGATTGAAGCTGCTTTGTATTTTTCAGTTTCATTTTTAGTAAAATGTCTTAGTTTTTAGACTAAGTATAAGAAAACAAAGTAATGCATTTCAATAAAGGTTTCTTCCATAAGGAGGAATACTTTTAAAATGATACATGAATTTTATTCCATAGTTTGCATATTATTTACACTATACTTGGTTTGGGTATTTATTTTAATATACCTAAGTCAATTTGAAGAAAGTTGCTGAAAGCAAACACTATAGTCATGCTGGTACGTTGCTTCAGTTTATCATTATTGTAAACTAATGAAGGTTAATTGTGACATCTTGGGTCACTTTTGCCACATAAAAACTGATATCCCTTCTTTACTTGCCTCTGGGGTATTCATGATACCAATCAGGTGTTGTGAAATTGACAAACCCTCCTAAAATTATATAATTAGAAATCATACAAAACATCAAATCCAAGTGCAGGCAAAGGTTGAGCAATGGTTTTTAAGAAATTTGCTATTTTCCCAAGGAAAACAGTGTTGACAGAGTCTGACTGCTGTGTGACTGGTACTACATTAAAATAATATATTGACAAGATAAGAGGCACCTTAATCAGTTTGTCTGCACCCTGTTCCAAAAAGGCATTTGATAGTCTAAGATATACTCTGGCCAGTGGTCAATTCAACTACTAGCTCCTGAGGTGAAAACTCAGACAACTTCAGCCATTGAAATTAGTAGAAATAACACCTCAGTCTTCATAATATTGCTAACATTTTATTGCTATCAGTTTGCATTTGATATGTTATAAGTATCACAATCAACTAACATTGATAATAGCTAAACTATCTTTCCCCAAACAATTCAAACTCAATTTAATCTAAAAAAGCTTACCATATTATGTCTAACAGCAGTGAGTTTTGAAAGCATAAGAAAACCATCTTTAAATTTAGTATTCGTAATAATTGCATATGGTAGGTTTTATAAATGCTACTACTTAACATCTGTAATTAAATAAATTAGCCATATCTGAAAAAGAACCCTAAACCAGTGGCGTTTTACTTGTTTGGGAATCAAGTGTGCTACTTTGCGTATAATATTAGTGTCAATGGTTCTTGACAATACAAGTCTTTGAGTATTAACATGTGAAAACCTGACATGATCACTCAATCATTTTCAGGGTTTTGATTTGACTACAATAATAATAAAGAATTGAACCATAATATTTGCAGTAGTTTTGTAAATGATAACAGGTCAGATCTGCAAAATTTCCACATAACACCATTTGTTTTGTATCCAACGTGCTACATTATTCATCTTTAAAACATAATAACAGCAAAAACTAATATGTATAACAATAGTTTTGAAATAAATTTTAAATCAATTTAATAATAACATTATTATTTGCTCCTTATTGCTCATAAACTAACTTGATAATAAATATTGACAAAAATCAACAAATCAAGCATAAACATCCTACAAACTAAAGTAAAATAATATAAAGATGGAATCAATATTGCTTGGATGCACAAGAATCATGTTGAACAAGAACAGATGGCATGTATAAAGTGTAAAATGATTTTAAAAAAGGAAATGTTTTTTTTAAATCCCTCTACCCAGTAAAAATAATAACACAAAATGAGCTGTTTTGGTTACAATACAAAGTGAATATCTGGCCTGAACATCTAGTATCATAAAGTAATCATTTACATCTTCCTAGCATTCACAGTGACGAGAAAAACCCACACTTCTGATAGGCTTCACCATGATACTGGCTGTTCATCTTGTGTTCAAATTTAAACCTAGGACTTGTATGTTAAATTGTTGGGGATACCTTATTTATTGTAATCAGAAAAACAACCTTTGTAATTCCTCTGCAAACAACACAGATGATTAACCCGTGGTTGCAAACTATTATAGTGCTAAATGACTTGCTGTAATTACTGATCTTCAACTGTCTTGTGCCGGTGACAGCTAGAATATATGACAGTTGAGTCAATTTCAGGTGATATTGGATCTCAAGTTCTCTGTTTTGTTTCTAAAGAACCAGGGGATGAGAAAGCCTAATGCACAATATAAATGATGATTGTTTCATTTGTACACTTTAAGGCAGAACACTTAATTAAACAAAAATAAATCCCAATAATATCTTATACCTAAACAAAAACATGCAATCCCCTCTTTTTACATAACACTGATCACAATAATAAAAACCTTAACAAATATTATTTCTGGTGTAAGCATTCCCCTTCAATGGATTTAACTGATTGGCAAAAGTTATAATGGAATGCCACCATAATTCAATCAAAATATACCTGAATTTCATACAATTTGAATGAAGTATACAATAAATGTAAAATCTGATTTTACTTGTTATAAAATATCAACATAAACATGGCTATTTCATGTATTTGGAATGCAATTAATAATAACTAAATTCAATAATATATGATAGATTCATTATTAGAATTAGTTAAAAATGAAGAAATAAAACTAATATGATATACAGATATAAGGAGAGTGGTGTCAAATACCAAACTGAAGAAAGACAAGGCTGTTAAAATTTAATACCATCATAAAAAACCAAACTGATGTATAAATTGAATTGGGATTGAAGGAGTATTTTATAATAAGTAACACTTTTTCCACCCCAGTAAAATAATTTTAAGCCACTGGTGAAATTATAGTAAATCTTATTGCAAGGCCTATACTTCATTAATGAAATGATATTACCACTACAAATTAGTGCAATACAACGAAGACACCTCTGATAAAAATCACAAGTAAATAAAGATGGAAACAGTGATCACATACAGAATAAATCTTTTCGTGATTTATGTACAGAGTTACTTTGCACAGGTTCTAATTTTTAACCCTATATAATATAATATTAAACAACATGTAAAAATTCCAAGTCCAAAAATGAGGGGACTCCTTAATAAGTGAGTAAAAGCATCAGACAGTTCTGAAAGCTGTCCCATCAAAGAAATAGAACCTCCATTACATACAATCGTACCTTGCAAAATGCGCATGCAAAAGCACTTAGGTAAGCAAACATTGTAAACAAACAACCCAAAAAGTAGAGTTGCACAAAGGTATTCACCTAAACATAAACCCCCTCAAAAATAACTTTTCCAAAAAACAAAATAATAATAATAAACAAAGCAAAATTTAGTACTTCTTTTATCAAATGGCATCAGTAAACAAGGCATCCTCTGGTTATTACTTCAGATGAGCTTTCTGTCATGGAAATCTGTGGAAGACTTAGTGCGGTGATAGGAAGGTCAATCAGAAAGGACAGCTTCCAACTCCTCCAAACCTTAAAACAAACAGGTTCCAGATGAGTATAATATAACTTTTTCCCAGACAGACAAAACAAAATGTTATATATGTAATCTGGCATTTTAAATTAAAAAAAATTAATCATCTGATAAACTGAAGAATGTTTTCCTTATGGCAATGCATACCTTTTCTATTGTGTTTTACCATCAACATTACTGAAGATGCTGCAGGAATGGACTGGAAAATACAAGAATCTGATCTTAAGAAAATGTAAGACTGAAAAAATAAGTGCTAACATAACTTGTTAGTCATTTCAAATATTAATAATGATTAATTAAAATTATTTTCACTTTCCTTTACAAATGAAATTACATGACATTATCACAGACAGAAAATATATCACCTTGAAAAGTTGTGCAGTCTTCACATAGGACATTCGGTCTAAAATGAAAGGATATGTACTGATAAATCAATACATCTGAATGATTCCAAACAAAATTTCTTTAAGTTAACATCAATGATTAACATAACATGATAACAGCAGAATAGAAAGAAATGTTCCAAGATCAACTGGCAACTTTACTTAACCACATATTTGAAGCACCAGCAGAAAAACAAACTGCATCAGTATATTTCTGGAACACAAAACAAAAGGGCTGGGAGACACCACTGGTCTTCAAAAATGAAACTTTGAAGAACTTTCACTTATTTGCTTTAACACCACTCAGTTGCAAAGTTTGAGAATTACCTATCTTCATATTATTGACCATAATAATCTGGTCTCCTCTGTACAGGACGCCATCACAGGGCCCACCTGGCAGGATGCCAGTGACATAGGACCCTGTCTCTGTGGAGCCTACAAGACTGAACCCAAACCCCTGATCACCCTTAAACAACTCAACCATTCTTGGCTCTGAGGGGAGATACATCTGAAATAGTTTGAATAAATAAATCACTGTCTATAAACCTAAAGAAAATGGTACAAAAATGGGCATGAAAATAATCTTTCTTGCACAGCAAAATTCATCAAATACTAAATGAACATCTGTACTTAAATTCCTTAAAACAGACCACAAACGTACCACTTTAAATCACCTTACTTAATTGCATTTTCATTTAAAGGAGCATTTTCTTATTATCTTACATGCAAGACACTAGTTCAGTTACTTAAAATCTAAAATAATAATTTGTGCTTTAATTAAAACACCAAAGACTGCAGTCTTAACAAACATTTTGAAGCACCAGTTTTTGAAGGTCAGTGATTCATAAACTAAGCAAACAGAAAAAAATTTCTGAAAAAAAAAAAAAAAAAAAAAAATGTGTGACTGGATATTATTTGAAACTGAACCCTGGGCATTACCTTGCTCCTGGAATGATCTTTAGAACGATGACTTGGAGAATAGAATCCTTCATCCTCTTGTCTTTCCTCTCTGGCATGTTTCTGTGTACTCTGAGTGCTGCCTGTCTTGACATCTGTGGGGCTGGCAAGTTCAGTGGCAGAGGAGGCCAACAACCGATTCAGGATGCCAACTTCATAAAAAAAAATTGGGAATATTACAGCAAATGTTGCTTTCAACCATTAATCAAGAAATTAACTTTTATTTTAAGATATTATATAAGAAAGAGACAAATACCTAACAGCAAAGCATATCAACCAAGGCAGTAAAATTTGCTTTTAAAAAAGTTACACAGGCATTTGTGGGTTATTCCAACAATTTTTTAGTGCACAGTATAAGATTCATTTTATGATTAATATATATAAGTCAGCTGGGGCATGCAAAAGGATTTACGCAATCATAAAAACTCATGACTCATCATTTAAAAAGAAACACTTTTTTCACAAAGCAGATGTCAATATTTTATTAAACAAAAGTTATTAATACCTGATTCACCCCCAGAAACCTGAGCACCCAGATCTCTGTAATCTTCCCATCGCAGACGTCGATCTTCAGGAATGACAGAGTTGACAGGATCACTACCACTAGCAGCATGGGCACTAAATCCAACATTAGCCTTGTTCCAAGTTACCTTTCTAATGTCTCCATCATAACTGCCATCCAGATGATTGTCAGACGAATAGTAATCTTCATCCTTGAAGTAAACTGTAGCATCATCATGTGTAACATAGTCTTCACTGGAAAGTCTACTGTCATGGTCACTGTGAGTATTGCTTGATCTTGACCCAGATCTTGTGTGCGACTTTTTGGTACTCCTGTGACCCATGGAAAGTACAGGAGAATCCATATGACTGTGTCCATTTCTGTTCATAGAGATATCAGGCAAACTAGTTGCAGCGTCCAAAACCCTGGCCCCAAATGGACTACCAAACTCTTGGTGGACACTGCTCTGCTGTCCAGGGTGTGGCAAGGTGGCTGAATTCAAAGTGTTTGCTCTTGAATGCCCATTTTGTCTTTTGTTTGCTACACTAGTATGGGAGTGTCCATATACATGCCCACTATCATGGGAGTCACTTATTGCAGGTCTTGGGGTTTGTAATGTTAAGTGCACCTCCTGGTCCTGTGGAGGCAGCACATCAATTGTAGGTTGGAAGAACTCAGACACACTCCCTGGGGGTGTACTGAATGGAGACACGCCCACATCCCTGTGGCTCTGAGCAGGAGAGGTAACACTACCTTCTAATGAAATAGACTGCCCATGATCCTGTCGTACCCTTGGCTGAATTTTCAACATACCAAAAATTTCTTCCAGATTTGGGGGTGGAGGTGGAGGAGCTGCCTCCTGGATTGTCTAAAGAAAAAAAAAACAATAACAGAAGTTAATCAGCTGAGTGAATTAGAAAATGATATACTGACCCTGATTTTAATATGAAGACCAGGAATTAAAGACCTTTCTGAATGTGACAGCATAATCACATAATCATGTGACCTATGATGCAACTGTAAGGGATATTTGCATTTTTGAGAACCATTAATGGGATTGATACAGGGCTTCCAATCACTTGTTTTGGCCACTAACATGACATGATATGATAAAGAGTTTTTAAAATAGTTTATAAATTATATTTTGACAATTTTTTCATTATAAAAAAAAAGTTTATTGAACTTTGGTGCACTTTCTTTATCAATCAGATATAAACTGAGATAAAACTACATTATACAAAAAATGATGAAATATACACAATTCTTTGTTGGTGTAGTGAATGTACAACAACCTCAGTGCTGAACAATGCACAAAACATCCTTTGTAATAAAAGTGTTCAATATTCAACTTTGAAATATTAATTTTAGTTATTTTTTCAGAAACTAAGCGTAGATCACAACCCAGAAAATGTCTAAGCTACGTATAAGATGAACATCTCTACATGTCTAACTGCTAAACACTGTACCCCTTCATAGTCCTCATAGATGTCCACCAGAGCACTGAACAGCTGTGTCTTGAGCACCCTCAGCATGGACACCACTGCCAGCCTGTGGTGGGCATCAGCAGGGGTCCTGAGCTCTTCTGCCAACCATTCCAGAACTTCAATGGCTCTTATGACATCTGAAATCCAGAAGATGGGTGCTGGGTCAATCCAAGCCAAGCCATCCAGGTCATCTACCACTACATCACAGAATTCTCAAAAATATACACCAAAGCAAGAATAAGACCTAATACCTATTAAAAAGCCATGTAAATCTTTTTTAAAAAGTTATAGCTGTTTGAAGTACCCCTTTACAGAAAGATGCTAAAAATGGCATGTTTCTAGACCATCTTTGGAGCTTCATGAAATTGCCTTGCACTGAAAGACATTTGCCATTTTTTTAATTAGTACTCATTAATATGCATATTCCACATGTGAACAAAACACATGTATATGCATGTGCAATGAAGCTTCAAAGGCTGACAAGCTTCATTTGCAACAGTGACTTTCTCACAGTTATGTGCACAAAATGTTATGACTTATCAAATAACAATCAGATCACTACAAAAATATACACTGTCACACATATTTAAATCATCAAACATCATCTGATTTGCTTTTTGTAATGGGGAACTCCATATTTGTGTATTACAAAATGTTCAACTAATTTCAATACTTTTTTCTTATTCTTTTTTCTAGGGCTGGCTGTAGAGAATTCCTTGCAGTGGGTACCAGCAGGTGTCATTTCACACTGTCCATAAAGATGATGTGATATGATATATGCTAAGGCAGTTCATTTAATAGATGACAAATTCTTAGGGGGGACAATGAGATGAGAGGGGAGGTGTCATTTAACTAAGTTTAATATTATAACAGTACTAAGCCATGGTAAAAAGGTCTTTTTCTGAAAATGACCCCCCCCCCCCCCCCCCCCACCTAAAATTGCTGGCAAGCAACAGGCATATTTACTGTATTAATTCACTCGCGAGTTTTATTTGAATGAATTGTTTTAATTCCAACAAGTTTTTTATTTGTTTTATTTCCGATTCTCATAAAGGTTACTGCAGATGTTGTTTTGAGAGTAAGAAATGTTTTGAATCATTCAGGCATGTAGAAATGCAGTAGAGGCAAATATTTGCTGAATGATGTTGTTACTGTTTATAAGTTGTGTGGACCTATTTGAGAACTGATGCTTGAAATATTTTGTGCACTTCAGAGGGGTGAGTTTGAAATGATTGCTGGCCCTTTTGGACCAATTCATCCCCAAATTTTATCAAAATTGCTTGATTCAGCATGACTGCATTTAAAACATAAAATAGTACAAGACTGATAAAAAATCTCTTTTATGTACATGTTCCTTTCTAGCGCAAAAATTCATGCGTTATCACTCCTATTGACGATTCTGATATGTACTGGCATGGACATAGGTATCTTATTAAATTCAAATATCCAACTGTTTTTCCCATTATGGTAGACTTGTGGTACTATTTAGTCGTTTTATGCAGTTTTTGGATTAAGTGACTACTACATGTAGTATAATCAAGGTAATGCCTGTTAGAGGGTGTATTGATCGAGGAAATGGTGATTTTGTGAAGACTAAGAGAACACAAGTGCATTGCTTTACCTATATTTTTCATGCTTTAGCACATATATAGCATATCAAGAAACGTAAACAGGGGTGCTAAAGCAAAAATTCCTGTGCTACATTCTATAGCCTACAGGCAACTACACGTACATGCATTAACCCAAAAAGGAACTTTCGGATGAACTTAACATTACCCCACACAATTCAATTACTACAGGGATAATTATCTTACCATTCTTTGTAAAAGGCATAAAGATACAATGATGCAGTAAAATAATGCGTCTGTCTGGCAATATCACGCCCCTTCTTCAACTCATAGCTAAAACTTCTGCACCACAGACCTATGTTTGAAAAACAAAACAACTGGCATCGATGTACAATGCTAGCACAAGATGGGCTTCTTAAATATAGTTCCCACATGACCGTAAGCATCCCCTCACTAGGTATGCAGTTTTAACACAGTCTTAAAGCAGAATAAATTTTGAATATCAGTTACATTCATTTTATTCCTCGGTAACTGCATTATCCACTCAACGAATCAGTTTTGATACTCCTGTAATTGACCTGTTAGTATCTTTTTTCCTTTATATATTTAAAATTCATTTGAGTAAGAAGAATATTTTGGTATTTATCAGTGTAAAGAAACCTGCTGGGCTCGTTGAACATTGTTATAGTTATTTAAGCCCTGATACTGGAATCTACCTGGATAAGGATATTATGTAAAGTAGGCCTATGCAACCCAAGTTAACCCAGGTGAGCTTTAACCAAAATCTGACCACTGCTCTACCCGTGTAGCTTTTGGTTATAGCCGCAGTTATGCAAATGAATCAATACTACAAATGAATCAATACTACAAGTCAAATAAATGTGATTGGCTTAACTGTCCCTGCATAACCTCTGCAACGAGGCAATTACTTAACCATGATTATTTGATATGTCATTATACACTGTTGCATAACCATTGCGTTAGGTCATCTTACACGTCTAGTACCTTCAGGTACCGTAGCGTACCTCTGAATATTTTGTTTCTAATCAATGACCCCCACTTGGCAAAATGATGCAACAGTTTTGAATGTTTTGATAAGGAATATGTAATTAAGGTCCCCTGACCGCTAGTAGGCCTACATGTAGTTTATTACAAAGTTATACTTCAATTTTGTTTGCTGTTTTAGGGGTCCTTGATATAAGAAGAGGGTAGGCCTACCAGTCACGAAGTCTGTCAACTTTTTAACTTTTGCACTTAAGTCCACTTTCTAACATTTTTTAGTTTTTCAGCTGGTTTTACGTTTTAATCTCATCATAAAATTCCGTTTTCACAGCGTTTTAAGTTAGGGCTATGTCTTAACATGTAATTATCCTTTACATTAGGTCTATCAATTTTAGTCTCTCACTTTCAATCGATTTTTTCTAAGGTCTTAGATTCTCTTTATTTTTATGAAAACAGCAATGAAATGCATGTTAAGTGCGGTTTTAAAATTATTATTATTATTATTATTATTATTATTATTATTATTATTATTATTATTATTATTATTATTATTAAAAACTAGAATTCTTTTAGTAAATTGTCGAACTATTATTTTTGAATAGAGACATTGATCAAGGTCAGTACATACATGTAACTAAATTTAGGGAAATATCGCTACTGGATTAACTGGTACGAGTTGGGGTAGTAATACTCCATAAGTAGGCCTACCTTATATATTTAATGCTATACTTAAAAGATAACATCTTAATTTCCTTCAAAGTCCCCATAAGTAAAACGATGTGCAAGTAATGCAGCATATGCTCTGTAAAATAAGTTTATGTAACTGGCTTATTTCACAACGTAGGCCTATTAGTGCAAAGTCAGACCATCTTTTAAAAGTTCGTGAAATCGTCAGTGTCATTATTTGAGATATATCAACAGAAATTAATAACAAAAAATTACAAACATATTTCTTTTATGTCAGCAACTATCGATCTTAATTTCCATTGATGATCAATGATGAGCCCGACTGTCCCTATATACTGTGACCTGTTGATATCTTTTTCCCTTTATATATTTAGAATTCATTTGAGTAAGAAGAATATTTTGACATTCATCAGTGTAAAGAAACCTGTTGGGTAAAACCCCCTTTACACTGGACGGCGTCCTTTCTGCGTCCTATCTGCGACCATGAAATTTGGCATCGCTGTGGTCTAAATAAGGAGGCACAAGCATTGATTTTGTATCAGAATGAATGCTCAATGATCGGCCAGTTGTCGGCACGTAAAGTATTGTAATTTTTAACTCTCAAATGGGGCCGTACTGCTGGACGCAGAAAGGACGCCGTCCAGTGTAAAGGGGGCTTTAGCTGAGCATTGTAATAGTTTTTAAAGCCCTGAAACTGGAATCTACATGGATAAGGTTATTACCTAAAGTAAGCAACCCAAGTTAACCCAGGTGAGCTCTAACCCAAACCTGACCACTACACTACCCGTGTAGCTCTTGATTATAGCAACAGTTATGCAAATGAATCAATACTACAAGTCAAATAAATATGATAGGCTATCTGTCACTGCATAACCTCTGCAACGCAACATTTAATACTTTGATATGTCGTTATACACTGTTGTATAACCATTATCTTAGGTCAACTAGTCCCTGCAGGTACCGAAGCATACCTCAGAATATTTTGACCCCCACTTAGCAGAAATGATTCAACAGATTTGAATATTTTGATTTAAAAAATGCACATGTACGGTACAAACTGTGCTTTTTATTACGCTCACGTTTTATTCTGTTGCAAAAAAGGCGTAACAAATACTGGGTACACCAAAGTTGATTTCTTTGCAAGGAATGCCAATGTCATATAGAAACACATTAGGGCTTCACGCCGATAATACTGTATTTTTGTAAATGACATCAATCATCTTTTCGTTATCCACCCAGGTAAAACAACGTGAAATAAAGTCGTACCCTCTTGTCTAATTTAAAGCATTACAGTTTTTCGGGAAGTAGGCTATATTAGACAACACTCTATAGTATTTCTTGAAAGATGCATTTAAGCAAAGTTTTTGCCACAAACCACGACCTAATGCCATGTACATGTACCATATATTTACAAATCGCATAAGTTAAAAGAAAACCAAAAGGTATGGTTCATATTTGCCGAAAATGATATTTTAATGGATATTTTCTGCTTTCTTTCTGTGCTATTATCCTCGGTTGTAACGACAACTCGTTTGAATTACTGTGCCGTTGTACACGCAATAGTAAAGCACAGTGCTTTACTACGTTATTTGGCAAATTTTTACGAACTGTAGGGACGGGTAAGTAAGTCAGATTTACGACCAGAAATTTGAAAAAGGTGCAGTGTCCGCTAATAGTCTGACAAAATTATGTTTATTTTATGAATTTTATTAACTATTTTAGAGGCCCGGGATAACAGAGGGTACCAGTCACCAAGTCTGTCAACTTTTATTCTTTATTTGCCCTTAAGTCCAGTTCCTAACATATTTGAAAGATAGCTTTTTATACCATTCGAAAATCCCATAAGTGTGTAAAAAGGTGACAAGCTGCAAAATGTGTGTATGGAACTGGCTTTTTTCACGACGTATTAGTTCAAAGTCGGATCATCTTGGTTCGTGAAATAATCAGTGACACAGTATCATTGTTTGAGATATATCAAGAGAATTTAATAAGAAACAAATCAAAAGCAGTCTCCACATTATCAGCAACTATATATCGATCTTTATTTCCATTGATGGTCAAGAAATATATAGCAGCGACACCACAAGTATTGCTTGTACTATAAGGCCCAATTTTGCAGTACCCCCCCCCCCCAAAAAAAAAAAAAAAATCTCTCATCTTCTAATGTTAATCAAAGTCAAGTTATGTGGTGACTGTAATCATTGTATCTGTCATTCAGATTAATTAGTTTCGAAATTTACTCACTAATTTTTTTTCATTAAACCTACATACTCTTTTACCAATGGGATCAGAGCAAATTTTCACAAATTTCCAGCGATGGCCGCGGCTTTCATAATAATATTTTGGATGGCATAAAGTTTCATGTAAAAAAAACATCGTTCAATTTGCTAGTTAATAAGTTGCCAAACTGATTTATCCTAATAAACTGCTCAAGTCACAAATTAATTTAGAGAAGATATAAAAAATCAAATACTGAAAGTCAAATAGTCTCTGAACAGAAGAGAACCTCTGATGTTGATGAAGATACCTCAGCTATTATTGTAACTAAGATCTAATAGCCACGATTTTCTGGGACAATGCCATTTAAATTTAAATAAACGACGAAAACCCATCAAATCTCTTTAATGAAGTTATCAAAAATAACCGTAAACCATTAATCTTGACTTTCATTCTCTTTAAAATTTGGTTATTGGTTTATTTTCCTGAAAATGCATGAAATTTGACCTGAAGTGACCATTGACTTCATTGGCTTACATGTTATTCAATGTTAGGCCTCCAATTTTTTTACTGATTAAGTTAGAATTATATATCTTTCAGATGCATAATAATTTATAAATTATTGATTAATCTCACTTTATTTTCATATTATGGATGTTTTCTTTCCCCTACCCCCATTTTTTGGATGCGGCCAATTTACCAGCAGGTTGTTATATAATGACCATTTATGTGCGTTAAACTTTATGGACCAAAATAATGAACAAGGCTCCTAAGGTACGTTTTTCTTGGTTAAAGAAAGGGGCGGGTAGAGGTTATTTAAACTAAAGTAGGTGTCTGTTTTACTAAGTTGAAAAAAAAAGGTACGACTATTTCTACGTAGATGGACAAAAAAGGGGTTTGTGAAGTCATTTACAAGGACGATGTATCCATGAGCCTACTGTGTTTCAATATGACTTTGATATTCCTTTCATTAAAATTCATTTCAAGGGGCCTTAGTAAATAAGTACAGTCATGGGTAAATGCCACAGGTCAGATAAAATTCCAACCCAGTTCGGTCCTGTTCTGAACTGCAGTGGATTCTAATCTGGCCTGTGATGTAATACTGGTAGACCGTGCAGGGGTCCATCGGTAACCAAGGTTGATTGTTGTCATGTGAAAGCTCATTTGATCAAGAGTCAGTTACTGTGTGGAAGTACTATCAAATCAGTACCTCTCATTATGTAAAGACATTTAGACAAACTATATGAGGGTTATTCTAGACATTCTATACTTCTCTGCTTGCACTGATTTTTTTATTTGGTTCACCTTTAGAAAGCTGATCCAGTCGAGGTTGTTGTAACCCCCGCCTAGACCTAAATACTTGTTTTGCTTTATTACTAGCTTTATAGTGATCAATATGATATGTCATCAAAACTACATAAGAAGAACCTTTTGTCTTAATTTCATGT